CGCTCCTAGGCACTATGGCCGAGCTCTGGGAGTGTGGGTGTAAATTCAGCATGGAAAAGGTTGTCACTCGAGGGTCCTATCAGATACCCCTTAAACCTCTAGCTGATCTTCCACCTTACCCGTGGAATCACACTAGATCTTATTGGCACGAGTCTCATCTTGGTGAAGCAACACGATTCAGAGAGTTTCCTCGTCAAGATCTGATCGGTGCTCCCACAGGTGATGCTATCTCCTTCGAACCTCGTTGGCGGGGTTTTCTCCGCATTGCCGAGAACCCCTGGATCCAAGACCATCAGATACAAAAGACGATCATCTACCCTGCTGCTGGTATGATCGCCATGGCCCTCCAAGGCGCCTACCAGGCCACCAAGGGCCAAGAGAACGTCCTTGGATATGAAATCATCAACATGCGTATCGAAAGAGCTATGATCGTACCAACCACAGCACATGGACTGGAAATGGCCATGAACTTCAAGAGTGTATCTTGCACGTCTGTTCACAGTTTGCAAGGTGCTGCTTTTGACTTTTGCATCTATTCGAAGCAATTGAATTCTTCCTGGGAACAGAACGCTACTGGCCGTATCGAGGTGCGATATATGCGTGGGCAATGGAAGATTGCCTTTCAGAAACATCGCGAAGAGTACGAGTCGCTCAAAGGGTCCTGCCTGGAACCAGTTGTACCTCGACAACTCTATGAGCTTCTTGACATTGTGGGTATGAATTATGGTTCTCTTTTTCAGAATATCATCCACATACGCAAGAGCAAGGGCGCGTGCGTCACCAAGATACGCATTCCTGACACGCGGTCCAAGATGCCTGCAAAGTTCGAGTATGATCATCTAATTCATCCTGCAACTCTAGATTCCATGTTTCAAACACCCTTCGCTATCGAGAGTGAACCTATGGTCCCATCTTTCATCGAGAGCATTTTTGTTTCGGCAAAGGTTTCCAGTGACATCAACAAGGAATTTGATGGTTACTCTACCGCCACTCGAGTTGGTGTTCGCGACGCAAGCGCAGATATCTCCATGGCCCAGTCTGGCTGGGAACAACCATCAGTTATAATCCGTGGTCTCCGTTTCACTGGCATCTCTAGATCATCCCGAGAAGGGGACGGGTTTCTTCCAAATAACCGCACTCTATGCACTCAGGTCTCGTGGATGGAAGACATCACTTGCTCAAGGACAGAAAATGTCGAGGATTTTGTCAAAAGGCTCGCACATAAGCTGCCAGGACTTTCTATTCTCCAAGTTGGCGGTACATCTGACACCACACAGAAGATTGTCAGTGCTTTGACCAGCCCCGAGGGCCAAAGACCTTGGCTTTCTCGTTACACTTTAGCTGAGGCTAGCCCTGACGACAGAATTTTTGATATTGCGTCCGTTTTTGCAGGAACTGCTGCCGAGCCTTTCATCGAGAAAAGACCTGTAGATGGTTCAGAGCCTCTCCCTGACTACGACCTGATTCTTGTTTGTTCTCGAAGTGAAATCGACATCGCCAAGCTCAGTTCTCACTTGAAACGTCCCGGCTATATCATGGAAAACTGCCCGGATGGAAACCCCGACCTCGATGAGACCATCTCACATGATTACAACGAAGTTGATGGTAAGAAAGTGGAGATCAAACTTCGGGTGAATCGCAGGAACCTAGCTGAAGATTGGCTATCTGTCCCCGATGTTGCCATCCTGCTGCCCGACAATCCTCCTTCAGAGACGCAATGGCTTGCGGGAAAGCTCATCATGGAGCGCCAATCTAGCGTGCAAATGCGCACCATGCAACTCAACGAAGTCTTAAGCGATCCCTCAAGACTGAAGAACAAGATCGTCATCTCTCTTCTCGACTTTTCAGCAGGATCCAATGCAGGTGCATCCGTCTACAACTGGACTGAGACAGAGTTCAACGCTTTCCATAGTGTTCATCAGGTGGTGAAGGGAATTCTCTGGATCTCCCGCAGTGCCCACATGGACCCGATGAATCCGAAAGGAGCTCCCGTCATCGCTCTTGCGCGCACACTCATGTCAGAAGAGCCCCTGAAAACATTTGTGACATTTGACTTGAGTATGAGCACACCTCTGAATTCCTCATCGGTTGTTCAAAATGTCAACAAGATCTTCCTTCAAGCATTCGTATCAGACCAAGGCTCTGGTCCACGTGAACTGGAGTATGCTGAGAGAAACGGCGTGATTTGCGTCCCCCGCCTCGTCCCTATTGGGCCGCTGAATCATGTTGTTGAGAATGGCATTTCTAGCGAGATCACCAAGGTATCATTCCACAGCTACCCACGTCATCTGAAGCTTCATGTCTCGCAACCCGGCCTCACAGATGATAGCTTGGTGTTTACTGCTGGAACTAGATATGCTCCTCAGCCTGGGGAAGTTGAAGTTATATTCGAAAGCGCACCTCTCGACTTCATCGACTTGGAGACTGCCATGGGCAAAACCTTGGAATCTGAGGTTGGGTCTGAAATATGTGGCCGCATCGGCCGAATCGGCCGCAACGTTTCTGGATTCATGACGGGTGATCTTGTGAGCGGTCTTGTGACTAGTGGCTCCGTTCAAAGTAATGTCAACATAGACAGTCGCTTTGTGTCAAAGTGGTCATCTCGTCTTTCCTTTAGTCATTTCGTTAGAGCTTTTCATTGTTTTGATAAAGTTGGAAGACTTGGTCCAGGAAAGTCAGTTCTTATTCATGCTGGAGCAAGCGGAGTCGGGATGGCTGCTATTATAGTAGCCTTTGCACTCTCTGCCGAGGTGTTTGTGACCGTTATGGGACCAAATTCGGACAAACAACGAGCATTTCTGGAAGAGTCCGGCGTAAAGAAGGCAAACATTGTCCACGCCGACTCGGATCTCTTTACTACAGTTGTCTGTAATCGTTCGGGACACGGGGTTGATCTCGTCTACAACGCTACACAGAGACATATCGAAGACAATTTCAAGTGCGTTCGCCGAGGTATGTTCAGCTTTTCTCCTATAACCGCATATTCACTGACTTCTTACAGGAGGTATTGTCGTACAATTTTCCTGCAGATTGCCAAGTCCTCCACCTGTTCACGTTTTGTCTTCTGATGTTTCGCTCGTCAACTTTGACTTGCAGAATATGTTGAAGTATGATGCAGACTACGTGGCGGAGCTGGTTAATGAGCTCAGTAGACTGGTTGAGAGTAGCTCTGATGATTTGGGGAATGACCTACCACTTCCTAAGCCAAGCATCAACATCGACATCAACAGGATCAAGGAAGCGTTCGGACTCATCGAGAAGAATCCCTTTTTTGGGCTCGTTTCTATCACCGGAGGCCCTGATGCCACGCCTCAGGTTGATATGGCTATCAAGAAGACTATCAAGCCGTTGCATCAAGCCTTGTCGGGTACTGATACCTACCTCCTTGCAGGCGGTTTGGGCGGCCTTGGTCGTAGTATCTGCGAATTATTGGTCAAAAATGGTGCTCGGCACATTGCCTTTCTGTCACGGACCGGTACCTCTTCTGAAGCGTCTCAGCGCTTTTTTAAAGACCTCTGCGATAAAGGTATTGACGCTCGGGTATACAAGGCTGATCTCTGCGATGCCGAAGCTCTCACGAAGGTAATCAAGGAAGAGATATGTCAAGAAATGCCACCGATTAAGGGGGTCTTTCAGTGTGCCGCGACTATCAAAGATTCAATTTTCTCAAACATGACATACTCTGACTGGACCGAGGCAATCAGACCAAAAACTGTCGGTTCAGATAATCTAGTTCGAGCGATATCGGCAAACTCAGAGGACCCCTTCTTCATCTTCCTTGCCAGCTCTGCGGGAGTTATTGGTAGCCGTGGCCAAGCCAACTACGCTGCAGGTAACTGTTTTGAAGATGCCCTCGCCCTCAACCTCCGCCTCGAAGGAAAGCATGCCGTGTCCATCGATCTCGGGCCTGTTCTCGGTGCAGGAATGCTTGCAGATGATGAGGAGATTCTTGATATTCTTCGAGCCAGTGGGTTCTATGGTATCCGTCACGAAGATTTTCTTACCATGATCACGCACGCGATCACTTCTGAGATTTCACCCGGAACTCCCATGCCTGGTCGCGTTATTATGGGCATTGGCTCTGGTGGTCTTATTAGACAGAATCAACCAGCTGACCCATACTGGTCTCGTACTGCTCTTTATAGCTACCTCAACCTGGTTGACACCTCAAACCCCGACTTGAAAGTGGTTGATGCTTCAAACGACTTTGATTTGAAGTCCCTTCTTTCATGCTGCTCCAGCACAGATGTAGCTGCGGAGATAGTCACCACTGGTCTTTCTCTCATGCTTGCCAAGGCGATGAACATGCTTCCTGAGGAAATTGACACTGGGAAGCCTCCCAATGTCTACGGCGTTGACTCACTGGTTGCCGTTGGTGTCCGAAACTGGGTTGTCACCAACTGCGGTGTCGAGGTCTCGGTCTTTGAAGTCTTGAGTGAAAGAACAGTGGCCGAGCTAGCCAGAGAGATTGCTAGACGAGGTGGGTTCGGAGACGAGGATAAATGAGCAATGTTGTAGGATTGGTAACAGAGGCAGTGGGGGTTTTGAGTTTATATATGCTGAAGAAAGCTCTAGATTTCCTTTGCGTGATTTGAGAATGGGAAGCAACAGACGGGGAACTGGTTTTTGAGGGTTTAGACATAATATGCAGGGAGTCCTTCACAGTTTGTATTATAGTTGCATAATACACAAAGTTCTGGGCAATTCTTTGTTTAATTAGTCGTGGCCTTATGCTGTTATCGTCTAGAAGGTCAGAAGACGAAGACTGCAATTATAACCAACAGTTCGGGTGACTTTGACCGCTGACCTAAGAAGTGATTGACTCAGCACCACCACAAGCAGATCAATCCAAGCAAAACAGACATGGCGAAAAGAACCAAAAGAATATTCAAATAGAGGTATGAAGAGTGGCTTCAAAAATAGACGAAGAAAAAGCAATGCGTAATCTGGGAATCGAACCCAGGGCTCCCCGACGCTGCTCGAATGGCAACGGAGAATTTTACCACTAAACCAATTACGCCTTGGTACAAGAACTGGCTATTATTTGACTACATGGAAGCTACTCCGAAGTTGGTAATCCAACTATTCGCGGATTCCCGAGTCTATCATTCAGTACCAAACATTCGGGGATCCAGGCAGTCCCTCTTTACATCCCTTGCCCTATATCATTCCTGTGCACTAATGTCTTTATTAACATCTCCTTCGTCGAAAATCGTTGCTGCTCAAACACGTCATTGCCATTCAAGGCTGCCAAACTGCCTCGATAATGCTCATCCTACATCCCTCAGGCCTGCTTACACCCTATAAAAGACATATCAGTATACACAACAGTCAGAGGCGAAGCGATTCGGTGACTTACCTTGAAGACGAAGCGCTCATCGGCAGCCCTAAAGAGTTCTTCAAACTCCTTTTCTGTCCGCTCTTGTGCATTCAACAAGGTCAACATCAACAGATCCATACTCCGCATGACTTTTTCATCCCAGTGGTTTTCAGCCCCCGGCTCACGGAGACAATGGTCGTTGATGATGACACGCGCACCCGGTTTGAGAGCTGGGACTAAGTTTTTGAGGATCTTGACGGCATATGGGGTTGAGTAGTTATGAAGTATCCAGCGGAAGTAGTACACTTGGTTGCGTCAGTAAGGGGGGAACTCAAGGAGTAAGTTCTGTCAATCTCACCATCGGCATCCTTGACTGGCTGCTCAGTAAAGAAGTCATGGACCTGAAGAGATATGCGTTGAGCTACCTCTTCATCTGCGCATATCGGCTCTGGGGCGCTGCTGATTGTCTTTGCTAAATCTTGTACCACAAATTTCATTTTATCCCATTTCTTGGCAAGATCGACGCACACGAAGCCATGACTGCCACCGACGTCCACCAATGTGCCTTTGTTGTTATTGATTTCGGAAAAGTCGTAGTTATCGACGAGGTAGCGAACCTCATAGCCCTCGCCGCCTGTCAAGCTTGCCATAGCCGCTGCAAATCGCTTTCCTCTGGGAGGGTCTTTGCCGAATGTTGCAAACATTGGTTCTTTATCCACCGTCCCCCATGCATGGTTGAAGCCGGTCCGTGTGAGTGAGGTCGCTTCTGGGTCGGCACGAAGAGCTTCCAAGGTATGAGCCCCAGCTGGTAGGAAATCCTCTCCATTCAACCCTACCCAGGCTTGGAGACTGGCGTCCTGAGCAAGCATCTTTGACGCGGCAGTGTGTGCTATGAACCCTGATGCCGGCTCTTGGAAAATCTTATTCGTCATAGCATGACGAAGAGCGCGAGCCAGGTTTATGCGGTCCAGTCCAGTCTTGCTTTGGAGTTCCGCCAAAGCAATAGATCCCTCCAGAGGTACGAGATTGGCTATGCAGGATTAGATATGAAGACAAAATCAGAATTGGCGGGCTCACGAATTCCGTAGCTGTTCAGTATTTGGAGGCTCAAGGTGTCAAGATACTTTTTGTGTTAGTACTGAGGCCAATGCACAGGCGGCAGGCTTACACTCCATATACCCCATCTGACAGTTTCTCTGGGTCCCCGAACAAGAAGCTCGAGCTGTTTGGTTGCAGAGGAGATCTCCATGCGACTTCTCTGTATATCATCCGGCAACTTGGGGAGATCTCCAGGGGCATTGACATCGAAACCCAAGTCCTGAAGACCATTAGCCTTGAAATACCCATCGAGTTTTTCCGTCTCTTCAGTAATCTTCCTAGCTAGCTGCACCATGAGAGGTGTGTCCAGGCTTTGCGGGCTTTGCGAATATGACGAAATGTGTGATTCAGCCATGTTGAACAAGTGAAATGGTCGTGCTCCCTAGTCCTTGTTGCAAAGCGACGTGGGGATGCGCGGTTTTATACATCATTGTTGTCCATCATGGTCCCAAATTGACTCTAGACCTTAGACTACCATCATGACCAATGCGGGTACAAACAAGGTAGCGAGGATACGTGAGCTGTTCTGCTCAAGACATAGGCGGCATGAGCAAGTCTACCCACCCGCACCACCATCATTCCTCAAAGCGCCAGTGGAACATGTGGCAAGAGTGCGTAAAGCCTGAATTCCGCGCTGATTCCAAAGTCGTCATGATTGGTGTGTGTGTGCTGCAAGCTGTGATTTTAATCCCTGAAGGTCGAGTCGAGACATGACCTGAGAGCTCTACAGTACATCAGCTGCTGGGGTGCGTAGTTACGATAACACAGGTTTGGTTAGATTAAAAATATGTTCCTAGTTCTCCACAAGCTAGCCCGGAAGCTAAGAAGTATTGGTGCTGGTGGCACGAAGCTTGGCTGCATAAGTAAATCTACTACGAGCCGTCATCCTCCGTCGAAAACACCAAGCGTCTTTCGCGAAGCTTTTTGGTCGTGCAGTTTTGTTCGCTAATAATCGCACGTCTGGGACGAAAACGCCTGCTCCTATGCACCGTGGGGAAATTCGCCTGTCTTGTGTAAAAGTATTCCGTGCGCCAACAGCAGCTGAGGAAACCGACGGTCAACATGGTTCATGTAGGACCCCGGACGAAAATAAAGAAGTCACGTGCATTCTCTAGTTGTTCACTGAACTTCTGTGTCCGGAGTATCTGTCCAACGGGCTGCATTTGCTGTGGGTGATCAGTCTTTTCGGCCTCAGTTGTTGTGCAAGTTGATGGCCCTGTATGATGGCAAAGGTTGATTAATCAGATGTCGAGGCCAAATACCCAGCGCTAGCTCTCTTTTCCCAGTGAGACTTGGCCATAGACAGCCGAGACCATGACCGGTTCTATCGGGTAGATAGCATAGCGTCCGCCTCCATTCCATCTCGCATCTCTAGCGGCCACACGATACCGTGCGACCCGTGGCAGCATCAGAATAGGGCTGTCGGCTTAATACGTCCTTGTAAATTCTTTGAACGCGAAGCGACTTTGATTCGTTTGTGTGCTCTGATTCCGTTCGACGATTTAGTATGGCTTTTGCCCATAGACAATGTGCATAGGCATATACAAAAGGGCCGTATGGTCGCTATACGCCCTTCGCACATCGACAAGAAACACCTCAATCTGCTCGCGGCTCCAGCCCATGCCCCTTGACATGGGACCCAATGCGATTGCTTGTAAGCCATCCGTCAGTATAGTGCGCCAGTACAGTCCGACAGTCTTAAGCACTTGATTTTTGGGCCAAGTCCCAAGAGGCACATGGAATACCCGTTCCGTGACGTTCACGAAGCCAGCTGCCTGCATTTTCGTAGCCAGTTTACCTCCTGCTGCTGCGGGAAAGTCGACTCCAAGCTGTGCTAACCCCTCATTAATATATGTCCAATACTGTGCGACTGGGTGCTCGCGTGGCGGGACAGCGTCTCCTGTTCTTGCATGGTGGGGGTAATGATGAATTTCTTGGAGTTCCATCCAGCCTCCAGGCTTGATATGCCTGACTTCGTGTAAGTACAATCCAAGGATCTGGCTCTAACAGAGTTGATACTTACTGGAGAGCATTACTAAAAAGTTGAGGCCAGTCTTTGATCCCCTGAACCGTGTGCCGAGAGTGTACATAGTCAAAATGATTCTGAGGATGAAGCCAAGGAGACTCAACATCATCAACCATGAAGTGAACATTGGGCGGCAACCATGTCGGTTGGATGGGTGATAAATCGATGCCTAGAACATGAGCACTGGGGTATTGTTCTCCCACTATTGTACTATTAGTTGCTGAGACGAAAATGAAAAGAGAATTGACCTTACTTTCGATTGCCCAGATTCCTGTGCCAGTTCCAATATCAAGTATGTTTTGCGAATTTTCGTCTATTGGCGCAAAATGTAACTTCTGGCCCGAGAGAAGCCTCACCATTGCATGTTTCATGTCCTCCCTCTCTTGTTCTATGTCGTCGTTGGGGAAGTTGTAGGCACCAGCCCGGAAGCTATGGTAGCGACGACCATTCTCAAACATATAGTCCCGAACAGACGACCCGATGGATGTACTTGCAGTGCTCATATTGTCGCTCCCGTATCCGGCATCGGATCCAGCATCGCCTATGGAACTGTATTCGTCACTATCGGCAACAATGTTGTCTTCGGCTTGAGCAAAAGCTTGTCGAGACATGGCTTCCTGCTCCGTAACCGATAGGCCTGGAAACATAGAGACACCATTGGGATGAGTAAGAGGAGACGTGATGGGTCGATGCTGGCTCTCAGTATCTGAACTTGGGGAGCCTGGTGTACGACTAACTCCATACACGTCTTTGAAGATGTCGAAGGGTTTTACTGCTTGCGATGAGAGCTCAGTGCTGCCGTCAGGAATTCTCTGGCCGGCAATACCAGTTCCAGATGGAACTGATATGCTTACTTTGGCATTCGCTTGATCTCTGGCCTCTGATCGTTCGGAATCATTTGGCTTGCCATCGTGTTTCGTAGTGTCTCCTCGGGTAGAAGGCGGGAATGCCTGTGTCTGGCTGTGTGGTTCTGGGTCCATCTTATTCCAGAACGAATAAGAGCCGGGAGGAAGACGGATATAACCAAAGAGCAATAGGATGTTTGGTGTTGTTTGTGACTGCGAAAGCACAACTTCCAAGTGAGGTGAAATATACGCTATGACAATTGCAACACAGGGAGTGTTTTATGCCGATTCTCTCTGAATTTTGCCAAGAGGGGAGCAATTGGAGACGCCGTCGAAGTTGTTGGAGTGTTCCGATGACGAAGCAAGGTTGTTTTAGGGTCGGCCAAGGCAAGTTTTGTAGGGTGATCTGAATACAGGGGACTCCCTTTGAAATTTGAATACAGTAATTGAATCAAACGGGGATCTTGTTTTCAAGGCCACATCAACAAGATGAGTGAGGACAGATCCAAGGTGATGGAATCAAGCACAGTAGCATCTGTAGATGGAGAAGGGAGACTTTACGAGCAATGGATAAAGGCAGGTAGGTTGACTTACATTGAGCTTGTGGGGCTGCGTGTGGCAGGTGGTAGCGTTGGTTTCTTGACCCAAGCGCCAGTGAAGTTTTCCACACGGCGATCCATGTATTACACTAATAAATCAAGGCGCGGCATAGATCGTGCCAAGAGGTCGGGTGGCAGATTACCGCCATGCCGATTAGAAGTATAAACGAGAGACTGTTCCAGCCAGGCGTCCCTTAGTACGGAACTCTATCATTTGGCTCTGTACTACCAGTGAACTACGCTGGCGATAGAAGTTCTAGCCGTCACAAACAAGCAGGAGGGCACAGGGCGAAATATGCGCTTGGGTAAATTCGGAGAATCTGAACAAAGAACATGACTTGGTAATTTCGAGGGGGTTTCCAAGTAGCCTAAAGCACCTAACCATGAATGAGCACCGTTAGCCATGGACACACCACCAACCTTGGCAACCAAAAGCAAGCAAACTAACGGATCCCAACCAACGACAGCGCACCTACGGTACTATGCCTGGGGGCAACGAACGTAGTGCGACAAATGAGCGAAACCGCTCATAAATGATACATCAGAACGAATTTCTATTCGGGGTCGGGGTGCAGGACTGCTCCGTGACAAGTGGTCCGAGGGATAACATCGTGATAAGATGGCCTTCCAGCTTATAAAATGGAAATAATATTTAATACTCCGTAGTAGATATCCAATTGCCAATAATAGTGCTACAGTTGTGTGCCAGGGCCGCCAGGGTAGGCTTGGCAAGCTGCTAATTTGTGTCCACTTTGGGAGAGGCTTCACACAATACCTACCACCCATAGCTAACTCAATTCTATGCTAACAGCATAACGTCATCCATATCGAACCGAGGCACTTGTTGTGAGTGATCTCTTGGTAGGTCGAGAGTTCAGGCCGCCATTAACCCTCAAGATGCCCCAATCCAGGTTCGTTCATTGTTTTGGAAGCCCATCTTTCAATCCAGATGAACTCATTCAGGATGCCGACCGTCAGAGAGAGGCTTTGAACCACCTGTTGAAGAATGATCTCTTCAACGCCAGTCGGGTACTCTTTCAACTCCCTGACCCGGATCCCTATACATACCATGCCGTGGCAAGTGTGAAACTTGCCCAAGTCCAGTCAGTAGTCAACCTTGGAGGTGTCAATGGTTTACACGCGTGGTATCGCAATGAAGATGGCTCACCTGTAAGAACTTACCTATGGGCAATGTCCGAGGAGCAAGAATTTGTGAAACTAACATGCAAGTAGAGAGAACCACCCCCTCAAGCTGACATTGAAGCATACACCTCTATCTTCAGGCCATCAACAGCTACTGCTGCATTTCTTAAGAATCTAGGAACAAATGCTAAGAAAGACTCCATAAGGCGTGAAGTCGCAGCCAACCTTGAGAGCAAGCGGTATCTGCACCCTGGGCTTGTGACGAAACTCACTATCCCCAAGAGCAAAAAACCACCCAGCGCAAATCCCTATCTCGATTTCTGGATGTGGTCATGTCACTCTCTTGAATGGTGCGGCCCTTGCCTGGCATCAGAACGTGTTCCAATGTCCCATCATGTTCTTCCAATTTTCATGCATCACTTTGGCTGCGCAACACCAACTCACGAGAGCCTGGCTATCCTGAAAATTCTGTCTGACGGGCGCCCGATTGTCGATATCGGTTCTGGCAATGGTTATTGGTCCTATATGCTCCGTCGCTACGGCCTCACAGTGCATGCGGTGGATAACATGCAGAGCGAGTGGAGAGTCAACTGGGTCAACGACACAGTCATATCGGACGGCGTGAAGTGGTTACGCAAGAATTCGAATGGTGAAGGCATGGTTCTCTTGCTTGTGTATCCTGTTGTTGGTGGAGGCATTGGCGGCGGCACTGAGGGAGGATTTACGCGGAACCTGGTGTCTGCCTTTGGCGGCGACACTATCGCAGTTGTGGGTACGCAGAATCGAAACGGTTACACAGGATTCAAGGGAGTCACCATGGATGAGTTTATGGCGAAGGAGCATGAGGACTGGACTATGGTAGTAAAGATAGCGTTGCCATCCTTTCCTGGGAAGGATGAAGCGTTATATGTCTTCCAGCGAGGCGAACGAGTGCCGCAAGAATAGATTCAGATGATTGCAGATGATTTGGAGGCCATGATAGGAAGTCTCTCAAGACAAATGCCTCTACTCAGCAGGGGTTTCGGCCCATGGTTCTGACTTATTGACCAGAAACGGGCAGTGGGCAACCTCCATACCCTACCACTGGGCTTTATAAAAGGGCCTCTACCATCAAACATAAAACTCATCGTCCCTATGCAGAGAACACAACGTCATACCATTCAACTTTCTTACCCTGCCTCGCAATGGTCAACTGAATAGGCAATTAATATAACGTATATTTGATTCTTCCAATCCAATGCAGTCACATCATGTTTCGTCCTCATTCTCACCTGCATCAGCCCCGCAAGGATGGGACAATATGTTGTTCTCAGCCTCTGCGACAGCCACCACCAAACCCCAGCAAGCGGCACGGTGAACGCTCCTAGCGCTCGGGGTCCCCCGATCTCCCTCCGTTGAGCCCCTCAACAGCTGTTTAACTGGTCTGCCCTGTGGGCATTTCTTTCGCTTCCCTGTGTAACCCATGTCCTTCTGGCCCTATGACGATCTCTCTGGCTCTCTTCCTCCACTAATAAGAGAATATTCTAAGAGCCCCAGCTCCAAGCACAGCAGGAGTAGGTACCGTAGCTGCGTATGTTGCTGCAGGTCAGGTCTCATTCAGCCCCTCCATTCTCTCGGTCCGCCCGCCATTGACGCACTAGGCGGCGTGTGACCATTTAATAAATGTTGAGTTTACTGCTCAATTGGGCGTCTTCTCTCGAACTTATCCATTTCTTCATAATAAGTGCCTCTCCTCATCCCCGAACTCTTGCTACTCAGTTTGCCTCGCTACTGAAACCCTCTCTCAGTTGGCGCCCCTCTTGACCCGAGACTGGGACCCCTGCCTGCAAACCAAAGATCCCCGCTTCTATTTCAACAGCTGAGCTCTTTGCCTCTCCAGAACAAAAACAGAGCACAACGAAACTGAGACCATGTCTCTCAAGCCTGATGACCGGTCCCGCAAGGATCGTTCTCGATCTCGCTCTCGTGACCGCCGTTCAAAGAGTGATGTCGCACCTGAGCGCCCTTCCTACAACGATAATCGCGAACCAAGTTACATCTATCCAGAGGATGATCTCAATGATCGCTATAGTCGCCCAGGCGCACCGCAAGCAAGCGGCGCTCTACCGTATCCTGAAGAGGGAGGCATCTATCCTGTGATTCCCGGAAACCCATCTCAGTACAGCTACGACTCTCAGCCGCCCACTTATCGAACCGCTTCTCCGCCAAGAGACTCGCCATACCGTTCCTCGCACGACAGGGTCGACAGCAGCCTTCCAGGAGCCTTCCCAGATGACCGCCGCCGCGAGAAAGATAGGGACCCATACATTCAAAATGCAGAGCCTCGTGCTAAAGAAGACGAAGACAAATTTAGCTTCCTGCCACAGAAGTACATGCGCAAGCTCACTGGATCTTCAGGCAACGACAAGGAGAGGGACAAGGATGACGATGGCTTGGCCTACGGAAAGCCTCCCGTGCCTGTGCGACCTAAAGACTCTTCGGACTTGGCTTATGGAAAGGCCACCGGAGCTCCGTCAACTGCTAGCCAGGTTATGACTACATATAACCCTCCCCCAGGTTCTGAAGACCCGTACTATGCGCAACAACCACCCTACGGATATTCTCATCGAGAACCTGCAAGTCCGTCCGTTGACCAGTATGGTTCACGCAAGACAAGGGAAGATGCACGATACGACGACACCTACGGCTCGGGTGCCAACGTCATGACCGTTGAGCCTCGAAGCCGCGACGATGAGAAACACCGTGACCGACGCAGGGACAGGTCTTCCGGTCCCCGAGGTAGCTCAGACCGCTTGACTGTCGACTCAAGCAGTCGAAAGCGCGAGAAGTCACGCGACAGATCACGATCTCGCCGGAGAGATAAGTCGCCTTCACGAGATACTCTGGGAGTAGACAAACACCACAGGCATAGATCACGATCAAGGGACGGTCACAGATCGCGGTCTAGGGATAAGCACCGTAGCCGAAAAGACAAGTCCCCTCAGCCCCCCAGTGAGAGAATGTCAGGTCTCAGCATCAACACTGGGCTGACTGTGGGAGGCTTGGCCGCCGGCGGACTGGCTGGCGCATCTCTAGCCAATGCGCCTCCGTCGCCCATGCTCGAGTCATACTATGGTACTTATCAGGACTGTTCGCCTATGCCGTCTCCTCTACTGCTCGCCTCAAAGCACCCAAGTGATGACAATAAAGCTCTTGAGGCGCTCTCTCCATTGGGTTCTGATAATGAGGGCGATAGCAGACGCCGTAGCCGACGTGCCCGCTTCCATGACTCCGAAGATATCACCACTCAACTTGCACAGGCCCTCAAGGGAAGCCGCCGTCCTGATACCGAGCCACTCATTGAAATCCTACCAAGCTTGACGCATGATCAAGTGATGAAGCTTCGTGCGGACTACAAGGCACTTGTCAAGACGGGTTCTGAGCGCAAAGGCGTGAACATCGCCAAGCATATTCGTGCTCGTCTCAAAGATGAAGATCCGCTGTTGATGAAGGCCTGCTACTCCGTTGCTCTCGGCATGTGGGAGAGCGAGGCATACTGGGCCAATTTCTGGTACCAGGGCGACAAGACTCGCAGGGAGCTTCTCATTGAGTCTCTTATGGGACGCACCAACGGCGAAATACGTTACATCAAGGATGCATTCACGGATAAGAAATATGACAACAGCCTCGTCAAGTGTATGAAGGAAGAACTCAAGGAAGACAAGTTCAAAAAAGCTGTTCTCCTTGTTTTAGAAGAGCGACGCATGGAGGAATACGATCATTATGGTCGACTTGTGCCAATTGACTATGCTCTTGTTGACCAGGACGTCGCTGACTTGCGTCGATCTGTGAGGTCTGAAAAGGGTGGCGAGACGGCGATGATCAACATCATCATACTTCGAAGCGACTCTCATCTACGCGCCATTCTGCAGGAATATGAGCGACAGCATCGCTCCAACTTTGCTCGCGACGCTCTCAAGAAGAGCGGAAATCTTGTGGTAAGGCCTAGCCTTCTCCCCCTTGCAATTGATGAATTAATACTAACATTGTCCAGGGTGAACTCTTAGCCCACATCCTCAATGGTGTTATCAATCGTCCTGTTCGTGATGCCCTCCTCATCCATCATGCCACCTCAGCGTCTCGTAAAGATGGCCTTCGCCGCGAGCTGCTCATCTCGCGTCTCGTTCGATACCACTGGGATCCACACCACATGCGCGCTGTGAAGCAAGCCTTCCGGGAGCGCTACGGCAGGGGCATGAGAGACGCCGTTCGCGATGCGACGAGCGGTGAATGGGGCGAGTTCTGTGGTGAATTGTGCATTGCACGTATGCCTGACGACGTCAGAAAATTCGACAAGGTCAGCTATAGCGTGAGATGAGCAGATTATGATTTATGATTACATGAATAATATAAGGAATTGGGTGTGGCATGGAAGAGCTGCGCATCTTTTGCAGCACTTGGATCATGACGATACGTTACTGGGTTTTCATTCGGTTATAGAAATAGCACTCTATATGTACTTCAACCTCAACTCATTTCTTCAACTTGATGCTAACATCAAAGTTTGTTCACTGCTTATGATCTCTTTGATCCTTTGCCTCCTCTTCCGCCCTTCCCTTTTCCTCCTGCACCCTTCTTGCTACCACCTCCGCCTCCAGCAGCATTTCCACCAGTACCACCCGCCATCATGACCCTCACTTTACCGACCGGTACGACGTTGAATGTCTCTTCAGGCTTGAGCGCCTTGATAAGCTCAACTTCACGCGGCCACATCCTTTCAGTGTCACGAGCGGTTTCGTCAACAACACCCTTCTTAGTAGAAGCTGCCTTCCAACGATCGAGAACCTCTTTAACTGCTTTGCCCTTCTTGGTCGCACCGGGCTGCAACTTCGCTTTGTACTTGTAGCGTCCGAGAGCGTTCCAAGGGGCACAAACAGGGATGATCTCAAGGATCTCATCTCCGGGAAGAGGCGTACCAACAATGGAGTCAAGCACAGTCATCTGGCTGGCTTCGTCCTCATCAAGAATATCAACGCCTTCCTCCATCATAACACGTCGAATCTCCTCGTGTTCGGCAGTCTCTTTCTGCTCTCGTTGGTGCTGCGCACGACGTCGCTCTTTAGCAGCAGCGAGCTCGAGCTCACGGTCAACCTTAGCTTTTGCCTCGGCTTCAGCCTTCTTTTGTCCAACTGTTGCTCCGATCAAAGCTTCTGCGGCAGCTCGATCTTCCTCATCTTGATGCTTATACTTTGAGGCGATCTTCTTCGCCTTGCCCTTCTGGCCTCGCTTGGGGGGGCCTTTCTTCGAAGAGCTGGGGCCGTTGTTCTTCAGCCTTGTGTCAACTGGCTTGCCAGCTGTCTCGTCATCCGGTCTAGCTGACTCGTCATCTTCGCCCTCTTCTGCTTCTCCTCCCACTGCTTCATTTTCATCTAGTTCCGCCACTTCTTGGCTATGAGACTCGTCGGCTGTGTCATCCGAGATCTTGAGATCAGACAAGCCTTCTTCAGCCTTTTCAACCTCGTCGTTGCGGTCTTCATCCTTACCGAAAGCCTGAAGTGGGTTGTCACGTGACTCTTCGTCTTGTTGTTCATCTTCGGATTCATTGTCAGATGGTTCGGCTGATTGTTCTCCTTCAAGTTCGTTCAGATCGCCTGCCCTGTCTGCTGGTTGCGACGTCGCTACTGCCGAAGCTTCATCGCCACCGGTAGAGTTAGCATCGTGTAGACGATGCTTCACATGCTTGGCTTTGCTCTCCTCGCTGATCTTAAATGCAACACCTAGACCGAGTAGAAGTTGAGCTGGAGGCAGAAAATTCTTCTTTCCCCGGATCATGAAACTTCCTGCCGGTAGAAATTCGCCTGTCGGTGCAGATTTGGAAACTTGATCAGCGTTTACCCACCATGCAGACATGCCCGCTTTCGAGTCCCAAGCATTCGACGAACACACGGCGAGTGATCCGGCTTGAGACAGTGTCGCTGGGGGAATGGGCGCATCAGGGGTTTTTGGATTGTTCTTGATAATAACGCTCGATGCCCCATGCAGATCTGCGTGGCAGTATACATCGCCTTTCCGGAGATATTTCTTGTAGATCATCTCATTTTGCTGGGCATCTTTGCCTCCGATCACAAGATATCCGTCGGATGAGATAAACCAAACGAATTTCTCAAACCACATTGGTTTGCGGATTGGTTGAAGCAGTGCCTTTTCCTGTTTCAGCCCTTTTTTGAGATCCTCGGTGATTTTTTGCTCTGCATTCTTCAGAGCTCTTGAGGCCTGTTGCTGGGTCTTTTCTTCCTTTACGGCCGCCGTCTTCCGCTGGTCAAAATACTCTCGAGCATTGCTCCAAGGGCTAAGTCCAAGGCTGATTTCCACACTTAGGGCTTTATTGGCCTGTTTTCCCTTTGCTGCCGATGTACCTTCATCGTCACCAAGCGCGCTGTCGTCGTCGTCCGTTTCGTAAGGGTCGTCTTCCTCTGGCTCAGATTCTTCCTCGGCCAGCTCAAGCGTAATGAGATTCTCGGCAAGGTTTAGAGGGAGTTTGATAATCTCAGCAACGGGGTTGTGCCGTTTTTTCTCGCGTTCCACCAATTTGCCGACATCTACCCAATCCATTCCTTGGCTGAGTAATCCATTGACAGCATCCATAGCTTCTTGAACTCGTTCAGCGTTCGCTTCAATGGCGGCGGCTTTGCGAAAGTTGAGGGCCTGGGCCTCTTGAAGCCCTTCGATTCGTTTGCTCTGTTCATTTCGCGCGGCCTCCAACTTGCGCTTCGCAGCCGCTTCTCGCTCGCTTAGTCGGGACTCCAGTCTCTGGCCCTCTAAAGATGAGAAAAATTCGTCAACTGTCTCATTGTATCCTGTGAATTCAAGGACCTCAATGGTGGGATCCTTTTTGAGTTTGTAGGGGACAAACGGATGAAAATCTTCGTATAGAAGATTGTCACGCTGCGTCTTGGATTCGTCACTAGCCTCTGCTCCCTCTGTTCTTTCCCTGCGCTTCGCGAATATGTAGCCGGTGCATGCTTCTGAGCTGGTGAGCTCTTCCACACTTTGTCTAGCCTCTTGAAGTGACTTAACCAAATCAGCCAGCAGCGTTTCATTGGCCAGTATTTCATCAGGCTTGATAGTGGTGTCGAAATTATTTGTGTGTAGCCAGTGGTCCACAAGCACTGGAGGCAATTCTGTAATTGATACAGCCAAACTCTTTCTCAGATCACCACCAGGCTTACCCTTCTGCTTCTTCGATGATGCAATAGCGGTAGCTGCTTTTTCCACGGCAGTCCTTAGGGCATCTTGTACCCTTTCTCTTGTCAAAGGAGGTATTCCGCCAAAGTTCTGCCTGTTCTCCAGGGAATATTGTAGGCCGACTCGCTGAGGTTCTTGACCTTCACCTTCTGAAACGGTTCTTGCGAGGGCAAGGATCTTCAAGTCGGCATCCGTGAGAATAATGTTACCACTCTAAGAAATAAAGGTCAGTGGCTCAAAGTCTTTTTCTGGACCGCATGACAAATGACATACAGCAAAAAACTCCAAGAACAATCTGTATTGGCCATCACTGAACTCGAATTCGAGGACTCGATCGGTGCCCACTTGTCTAACTGACGTCAACCGTCTGGTCTTGAGAAACTTTCTTAGACGTGCAACAAAAGCGGAAGGGGCCGCAGCAGTTGTACGCGCGAATTTCGTCAAGTGGCAGCGGAAGCCCGTATCGATGACAAGCTGCTTTTTGTTGTCTGGTTTCGCAAACTTGAGCAGGAGAATCTTGGACGAAAGGTCGTATACGTTGGAGAGTCGAAGAGTCACCAGCTGTTCCTGGAGCTCATGCGCAATGATCTTCGTTCAACAATTAGGATAGGGTTCAAGGTAGTGGCTTTGGTAAAAGACCTACTTTGACATCCAAAGAAGAGAATCTTTGCTTCATTTTCAAGTGCTTCACTCAAAACAGCGTTATACAATTATGAAAATCTCAAGCTATACTAGCGACATCGTCATCGCAGGCAACTTGGTTGTCGTGGGGTACCTAAGGTAGGTAGTTGGAGGGGCACGATGCTGACATCATCCAGGTGCCACGTGACCGGATTTCCTCATAGCAATCCATTGTAAAGACCACCAAGGCACTCAACAAAGATCTTGCCATTGAAGCTTGATCTTACAAGCAGGAACGAATCTGTCAGGTCAACGTACCACGCTCCTCGTTCCGAATGGCTTTGACTCCTTAGGTGCTTCAAACACCTCGGACCAGGTTAGATCCTGATAACGACAGTCCTTCCACAAATGTGGCTACTGCCAGGCTCATGAGGAGGTGAGAGAAGCTTCAGTGATTTGTAGGAAACACGAAAATCGGTTGTTGCCCGTATGAGAATCTCATCTAATCCACAGAATAAATGCACTGGACTGTCTTGCTAAATGAGTCATATCGTGTTATCCAGAAGTCAAGGAAACATTCATACACATTGTAGCAGACAGTTGGGAAATTTCCTGGTTCTTGGAGATACTATTGGAGCCCTGGGAAATCTATGGGATATGCGGAGGACATGATCTGAAAATGCGCATCAGACTTGCATTAGCACCCTCATCGGGGTTCTGATAACACGCGTAACGCATCTTGTAATGCCCGCCCAAGATGTCACGTAATGTACGTGTTACCCCAGATTTGTCTCAGAAAACGGCTTCGGCACAACACAAGCCTCCACGAACTCAGCCGCGGATTTTGACAGGAGGATACACGTGAGAATCCAGCAGATGCCGTTGGGCCGAGGAACTCTGTCCGGTTTGTTGACTCTGTGTAAAACTTCAAATCATCGACCCATCCAATGCAACATCAAAGCCGTTCGCGAATCGCGTTTCGCACGGGTACAAATCTCGAACCGCGGCTGGGACCTGACGCCAGAGGCTAGTGGTGGCCTGAGATTATTAGACCCAGGTCACAAATTAACAACTCAAATAAGGATCCATTGTCAGCAAATTGCTACTGCTTTCCAGTTGTCACAGCAACCAAAAGCCGAGACCACACCAAGGCTTGGCGTATTTCAATGGCAGTGCTTCTGGGCACTAGTTTGTTGATCTATTGATAGCGAGAATCTACTTATGATGGAGATAGTAGACTGTGCTTCGTCGGCGGAGAACACATGGGTGCGCTGTAATGGAAGAGCATGCGATCAATTGGACGGAGTCAGACGTCAATGGCTACAGTTACAATGCATTGAATGCAGTAAGAGCAAAACTTCCTGCAGCTAACGAACGACGTGATGAGCCGGCAGGATTTCAAATACGGGATCGTTCATGATAGGCCCAAGTAGCTCTAGGTACTTGAGCCTCTGAAACTGACGAAAGCAAGGAGGCCAACCAAAGCGATGCCATGCCTAGCCTGCTCAGCTCGACACCATCAACGCCAGTTTCTGAGGCCAAACCGTTACCGAGGCAAGGTTAGGAACACACTGACTTTACAGTAATTCGCATCATGACGTTTGGGGAGCGACCACTGAACAGCACTTGCACTGATTAATGCATTTGCATAAAACGATGCTTCAAGGTCCAATGGTTGGCTTCCACGATAGCAACGGCAGGCTCATTACGACTGATTTCATGCCTGATCAGCCGCTGGTGCTGCAGGTGAATAAAGCTGGTGCGCCGGTTTGAACAATTCGAAAGTTACTTAAATTGGGGAGGTTGGGATTTCACATGGCAGCCAATGGGAGAAAGGTTGCAACTTGCATGAGCCCCTCAAACAGTCGTTGCGGCGTTGCCCAACTAGGTATCTATCACTGAGGTCTGAGGACTTGATTCCGTTTCGCGCTTGTCACCCTTTCTCCGGCCAATCTTGATCGAATACATGAAATGCGTAGTGCAGTTCGGCACTTTCAGAATGGGCAGTCCTTATCATCTTTCAAGTTTCGTCAATCAGACAGACAGCCATGTGGTGAAATGATAAAATGAGTGGTTGGGGATACTGTGTGGTAGCGCTCAAAGTACCTGGATGCTGGTCCCCGCCCCCTGATTAAACATGGTGCTTATGTGGCGTTCAAGAGGAATTGTCACTGGACAGTCTTCGTTTTGTTGTTTTGTTAACAACGCAGGCTCTTCCAATTGCCAGGAACGGAGCGCTGGTGCGGGTAGAACTTTAGATGAATTTGAAGGCAGGGGAAGATCTTCGACCCCAGGCCTTTGAAATGACGGGATGCCGCTCATCACGGTCACCCAGGTTCAATGGATGCGGAGCGGTGACGGATGCGATGTCTCATCTCTCGTATATGGGGTTGTGTTCCACTTTCTATTACTGTTGATGTTAGGAGTTGGCAGTTGGGAGCCATGAAAGCATGGGCCCTTCGGATACGTGCAAGGACGAGAGGAGATCGGAGCTGGAAGAGGAATTGCGTGGAACAGGATGGGCGGATAGCTGTGCAACCTGTGCTGACGACGCGGACAGCTAGGTAGCTGGCCTCTTCGTGACTGGCTGAAGCTGAGGTCAGGCTAGGTCAGATAAGGCAAAGAGCTTCGAGAGCTTCGATGGCTGGCTGAATGTCTCTGGCTGAGACGCAGGAGGAAGGGATAAAAGTGGCACTCCGCAGCCAAGACGGGGCTGCAATAATCATAGTGAGTGGATGGGACTACCACATACGGGGATTAGGTCTCAGGCCTATACTCGATTTGGTAAGAGGTAAATAGAACGACATACTAACCCCCTGGCAAGTAAACAAGACGAGTGGTAAACAAGCAATCGGCGACAACAACCCAGAGACAATCGACACGCCCATGGGGGTGAGAGAAAGAGGTAAAACGATGGAGAGGGCAAAGTGCGTGAGAAAGGGCTGGGACAGAACAGGACAGAACGGATCAACAGGACACAGCGCTGCCGAGGGAGCAACACAACGCTCAGTTTGGCACAAGTCGTCCAATCCTGCCCCCGTCTTCAAAAGCCCAGTTTCGTTCTGCGTCCTGTTCGGTCCCTCTTCTCCTCCTACTCCCTCCAATTATCGCCATCCACATCAACATCGTCAAAACAAAACCTCACCCAGACAAGAAGAAAAGAACGACTGAAGGCCCTCGCTCGCCATCTACCGATTCTTTTCCATTCTCTTCGACTTTTGTTTCTAGGAACAAGAGCCAGAGAACTTCTTGTCTTCCTTTCGAGTTTCGGAAGGTTGTATGAGAAGCTTCTCTCGCGCCATCAAAAGTCGCAAATCTGGACTTTGAGGCTCGCGTCCCCGTTCCCTTTAGCATCTTCCCATCGACATATCGGGAATCCGAATCCCATACCCAGACCGTTACCGAAACAAAAACCCACGAAGAGGTTGAGATCAAACCCCAACAGCCCCAAGCCGGACGGGAAGGTCAATACTCTTCTGTCTCTGTCACCGCCGAACAGGTTCCTCCTCGCGGAGAGCAACGCTTTAGCGAAGAAGAGGTCCGTATTACGCGTGAAGAAGAACGTTACCGCCGTCCCGGTGTCCAAAAATTCGAGCACGAAGAAGAGCACTTTACTATCCGTGAAGACTCGCGACGGTATGTCCGATTTTACAACTTCCTTGGCCCCCTGGTTTTGATATTGCCCATTTTCTACCTGTTTGCCGACCGTGCGAGACGAGTCCGCAATGGCCTGCGAAATCATTGCCCTCCAGGTCAGAGCAGTTCTCTCTCCTCCAAGTTGATCAGATGGAACATGTCAAAGCATGTCTTCTATCACTTGTGACGGTAGCAATTGCCGTTCCCCCCTGAGCATTTCCTCCGCAGTCCGATTTTCACTTTCGCTTTCCTCAACTCGGCTGGCCACAACCCACTCAACACAGGCGCTTCGGCCCCTTGAGTCCCCCCAGCCATCTCAATTTATCACATCACATCTCACCACACACCGTCTCACATCACACCCCTACCCATGTACGCTACCGCGCCAACCACCTCAGCTTGGCTGGGTACCCAATTTGCTTTTGCTTCACATCCCCGGTCCACTAGTGCGCTTAAGCCTTCTGGCCTGAGCAAGGCGGTGGAGCTACCTCAGGGGCCGCCCGCCTCCCGTTGCCATATGATACGCAAGCGAGATACTATAGACATCCATCAGCTAACCCAGACAAATCCAGACCTGAACCTCCCTCTCAATACCAACCCTCTCAGTACCAACCACCCTCCCAATACCAAACTTCTCACACTCACGTAGAGGTCGACACCCACCGTCATCCCTACTACTCCACCCCCATCGATCTCGCTGAACGTGAATACCGCCAGCGTTACCGCCCTGCCCAAGCCTTTTCCACTGAAGACCCTACTTCCCACTCTCACTCTCCCTCTCACTACCAAACTCAAGACAACTTCAAAGCCAACAACTACACCGTTGAAGGCCGACCCGCTCCCCAATTCTATTCCTCCGAGAAGACTGAAATCAACAACTTCACCGTTGACGGACGTTCATCTCGCCCTCAGTACAACCAGACCGAGAAGACCGAGTTCAACAACTTCACTGTTGACGGCCGTTCTTCCCGACCTCAATACACTTCTGAGAAGACTGAAATCAACAACTTCACTGTTGACGGCCGCTCTTCCCAGCCCCAGTACCGCGATACCAAGACAACTCAGGTCAACAACTTCACCGTTGACACGCCTGTTGCTCGTCCATCTAACAAGAAGGACGTGAGATTCACTGAAGAAACCGTCGAAACTACCAAGGTCGACAACAACAAGTCCAAGATGGGTTACTACGACGACGACGGTTAGTGAATACCAAATCTTGGAGTAATAAACTCGCGAACAGTCCAAGCTAACTTGTCAGCAGGTCACTACAACTCTTTCCGCGCCGGTGCTCACAAGCTCGGTGATCGCATTGCCCATGGAGGTCGTCGCGATATTGAGATTGACATCCACGAGGGTCCTCGTCCCTCTGCTGACTGCCTTCCCAACACCGTCAGCATCCCCTGCCACCATATCCGTCTGGGTGACTTCCTGATGCTCCAGGGCCGCCCCTGCCAGGTCATCCGCATCTCTACCTCCTCTGCCACCGGTCAGTACCGCTACCTTGGTGTCGATCTCTTCACCAAGCAGCTCCACGAGGAGTCCTCTTTCATCTCCAACCCTGCCCCCAGCGTTGTCGTTCAGTCCATGCTCGGCCCTGTCTTCAAGCAGTACCGTGTCCTCGACATGCAGGAGGGTCAGATCGTTGCCATGACTGAGACAGGTGACGTCAAGCAGGGTCTCCCCGTCATTGACCAGTCCAACCTCTACTCCCGCCTCAGCAGCGCTTTCGAGTCCGGCCGTGGCTCCGTCCGTGTCCTCGTCCTCAACGACGGTGCTCGTGAGCTCGCCGTTGACATGAAGGTCATCCACGGCTCTCGCCTGTAAGCGTGTTTACTGTTTTCTGAAGACGGGCAGCCGCTTGTAACGCGACTATTTCCCAATACCATAATGAGTTGATGAACAGCACTACTGGGCTTACCTCGGTCATGAGGAGTAGGTCCAGGCTGTCCTGAGAGTCACCTGTACAATGTCAAGTTTCCTGGGGATCTGTTGTATGTATCAAGATGGTTCAAGTTTGTTTGTATCGAGATTGGATAAATCATGTTGGCTAGCTGGAAATATTGGAGTCTTTTGCGTAGATGGGAAAGTTCTGTACATGGACTGTAGTAATTGTCAATTGATTCCACATCTACATAAAGCTGAACGTTCGTGTCCCGCCGTGTCACTGTCTGACTGCACTGTTAAGATTTAGGAGTGGCAACTGAGCTCTCAAGGTTCTATGAACTAACCACATACGGAAACATGCTGCCTCCCTGCTGTTTGATACGCGGCCCAGACGTGCCGACACTTCCAAGTCTATCGCTACCCTACATTTCAACTGCCGTACTCTGGCTTGTGGTTCAGTGACGTTTTGGCCTTGTTCATTATTCTCCTGGTGAGTGTCTCTTTTATTGTATATACGGAATATTTATTCAAGCCCTGAGTGTCGATCTGTTCATGATGGTCATGATGTTTAAAGCATCTTGCGTGTTCAGAGCTCTTATCATCAAGGTATTTCCCCGCGCGAGGCTAACGCAATACAGAGCTGAGATGGATGGGTACACAGCCTGACAATCAATCACGCAAGCTCATGCTTGATGAGACAGCGCGTGACGAAACTCTGTCACAAGTTCTCCCTAAACCTTGATAGCGCACGATTTCCTTCTCCTACACATTTGCTTCTTTGAACCATCACCTTACGTATTCTCGTGTATGAAAGTGACCATGGGTGCTCAGCCATCAAAGCCAACACTTCACGAGAAGGCTGTCATGGAGCGCCTCCGTAGTCTCCAACTCCAGGAGGATGACGAATACGTCGAAATTAGCAGCGACGCTGAGAAGGGTACGGTCGGACCCTTGACTCGCGAGGCTCAAGGTCTATCTGTCCATGTCCTCGAGTCCTGGCAGTCTGCTATCCTCAAAGATCCCAAGAACAAGTGAGATTTCCTGCTGTCAGGGCGCTCCTATCGAGGCTAACATTCACTGAGACTCGCACTCACGGCACTGAGCTCAGCAAACCCGAGACAGGTGCTCACTTCACTGTCGACCGAAATCGCAGACCAGCAGATCTATAATGTCAAGATCCCATTCGAGGGAGATCCGATTACGAACCAGCGTTCAAGCGGCCGCTGCTGGTTGTTTGCCTCCACAAACGTGTTCCGAGTTGCCATCATGAAGCGATATAATCTCGAGAGCTTTGAGCTCTCACAGCAGTATCTCTTCTTCTGGGATAAGCTTGAAAAAGCGAACTGGTTTTTGGAACAGATCATCGATACCGCAGGAGAGGATCTCGAAGGACGTCTCGTTCAAACCTTGCTGGGCGACATCGTTTCTGATGGTGGTCAGTGGGACATGGTCTATAACCTTGTCGAGAAGTATGGTCTAGTGCCACAGACCCTCTACCCTGATACATGGAATGCCCAGAGCACGGGTATTCTTAATAGTGTTATCAAGACCAAGCTTCGTGAATTCGCACTCAAGCTACGGGGCCTGATTAACTCTAAGAACGGTGTCTCAGCTACCACACTCTCGTCGGCGAAAGACAAAATGCTTCGTGAGATCTCTCTCATCATGACTCTTCTCCTTGGGCCACCACCAAGCTCCGAGGAAACCTTCACTTGGCAGTACAACGACAAGAATGGCAAGTCACATCAGCTCAAGACTACCCCTAAAGAGTTCGCCAAGAACATATATAGCTCCGATTTCCGCATCACTTCTAGCACCATCGAGAGTATGATCTCACTTGTGGACGATCCTCGGCACGAGCCGCTCTCTCTCCTCTCTGTTTCACGACTTGGTAACATCGTGGGTGGACGTGGCGTGAGTTACGTGAACGTTGATATCGATACCCTCAAGGGAACATGCATAAAGATGCTCAAGGCTGGTCTGCCTATCTTCTTCGGTAGCGACGTGGGTAAGTTCTCCGACTCCAAGTCGGGCATTATGGATCTCGACCTCATCGACTACGAACTTGGCTTCAACACTAGCTTGCTAGGCATGAGCAAAGCACAGCGATTGACAACACAGGAGAGTCAGATGACCCACGCTATGGTGTTGACTGCAGTTCATCTGGACGAGGAGACGGGCAAGCCTGTCCGTTGGAGAGTGCAGAACAGTTGGGGCACTGCGGCTGGTGACAAAGGATGGTTTGTTATGAGTGATGCTTGGCTCGACGAGTTTGTTTATCAGGCTGTTGTAGACCCTCGCTTCTGCAGCAAGGAGGTTCGCGATGTGCTCAAGAAGGAAGCGATTATCCTCCCACCATGGGATCCTATGGGCGCCCTGGCCTGAGTGAGCGTTCTTGTTACGGATGCGAAGGTATTGCTATGAGACGACATTGAGACTCCTTTTTGTATCAGACCGATGCTTGCCGAGAGAATGAACATAGTTTAACCACCCCCCCTAACGACCGTAGCACAACCGTGCTCCGTGAAACCTGCTATGGAATCATTCGTGGGTCGGTTACCAGGTCCTAAAGTGATGGTATATTCAAGTAAAGACAAACTATATTACCTGACAAGATGGCCATGGGAGTATTAGGGAAAATAGTACGATGATGCTTCTCTTGCAATCCAGTGCCGGCTTCTAGCGAGGACCTGGGTAACTTCATGTGGTTTCATCTTGCCTGCTATTTGAATATGCCCACGACCTCATTTTGACGACATGGGAACAGATGCGGTCCCCTCCCAAGTCATGCTCATAATGTACGTTAACTCGATGCAATAGTAGCATCAATCTCTGCACTTTTTTTTTTTTCATATGTCGCGATCCTCTTTTGTGGTATACATGAAAGGCGATGAGGACTTAGCATCTGGTCACCAGATCTCTACCCCCGTCCATTAGATCTCTTTGGAGGTACAACTACTGCACAAATAATTCGTGCTGAACCATAGACAAGGAATGATGGAGTCCTTGCATGGACACATCTACTCCGACACCGAGCGACATGTTGGAAGAGCGTCACATCTGATCCATGTGCATTGCCGTAGCGGCTACGGATGTACTTGTTCTCAGCCAAATGGTTATGGCTAAAGCTGTAACATTTAAGCTTACGTTTCGCGTATCGCTCGAGTCCTTTCCCAAACCGAAAATAATCTAAGGCATACCCTTTCATGCACTGGCTACCTTTGCCCTTGCATTGTGGCAGACGGGTTTTCATGTTCCACGGCCACGTGAGGTGCCGGCATCTTTTTTATGGCACCTTGATCGCAATCTAAGCCAGCAGTTGGAGTGTGACTGAGGTCAGAACTCATGCTTGCTTGTGGTCTCTCCATGAGAAGACTGCCAGTCATATCACGCGCAACTCGATTTCTCCCGGGGATTCTGCAGTTGCTTCGCAGGTTGTGTCTCTTCAAAAGCAGTCTCCATCTGTGGTTGGCTTCTTTTCAGTACGAGAAGCCTCGTTTCGAGATGGTCTGGCAGGCATTGGAGAGTACATAGCGTTGGGAAAGCTAATAGTCTCGGGAAAGTTCTGGGCTTCAGGAGGCACGTTAGTTTCAGGAAAGGTCTTCTTTCGAGAAGGCTCGTGGATTACACAAACGCCTTCTTCCTCCAAGGCGTTTTCTTGAACACGTCCACCTTTCCTAGACCCTTTCCTCCCATATAGTCTTGTTTTAGTTAAGTGATTGTTCTCGGCAGTATTCGAGTTCCAAAAATAGACTGTGTTTAGATGGGCCCTGACGTGTCTGTCCGATGGAAGAAACTACCTATCGTAGGTAACTCCTTTGGAGCTCAGGTGGTTCGGTTCTGCTGTACTATGAACTTGAACGGCTGCGATGCAGATATATTGTGTTGGTGGCAGGACCCCTCTACCGTTGCACCATTAGGAGTGAGGAAACCCATCGGCCATCAGGAAAGCTCTGAGGTCCTGGGTTGGAAATCGAGTTTCTGACTAGTGCAAACATTGATCAGCCAGATGAATGGTCTCGTAGTTCTCGATTACTCATACTCGAAGGTACAATACTCTTAACATAGCTGTTAAGCTATGGCTCCCGGTTTGCTAGTACTCTTAAAAAGGAGGGCACCAAGAAAATGCACTGAGTTGATAACTTGGATGCTGATAGGAGGTATATCAAGCTTTTCTTATGAAAGGCTCCACCGACCTAACAACTCTCTCAGGTACTGGGACTAGCAGCTGATGATTTCGACAGTGACAGATAACTAAATTAATGTTTTTCGCATTGACTTTGTGCGGCCCTGCGGCAAACTTGTCATTCGATGTTTTGGCAACATAGACACTACATCTATAATAGACAGCATATTCCGGTTCGCTGATGGCTAGGCCTGTCTGCAATCTGCAGCAATTGATAGATCAGCGCTTCTGTCATCACTATTAGAGGCTTGCTTTTGTGTTAAAATATCGGGGTATGCGTCTAACGAAGCTGGAGAACTTGGAAAGGTAGTTATGACTTGGCATACAGCGCTAGGTACTGGTTAAATGATTAACATGGTTAAGAGTATGCACCTACGGAAATTAACGGAATTTCATAAAGATTGACCACCTTGATGCGGTACTAACATTGGTAGGGCTGTGTGTAGATGAGTCAGCCAAATAGAATTTTTCTTTTTTTCTTTTTTAGTTATACATTACTCGCTTCGCCTGGATGCTTGCATGGTCCCTTGTCCTTCTGCCAGTATAACCAGACTTACAATTATCGCGCCTGAAGATTTGACCAGAAATCTCTTCCAAAAATGAGCGAAACACTTGACGCGGCGCCGCCGCATGCTACCTTCGATGTAAGGACTAAGAATTCTTAAATCCCGATGTAGTACTGACCATTGCTGTCAAGACCGTCCTCGTCTTGGATCTAGGATCCCAGACCAGTCATGTTTGTTCTCTACTCCTGCTATGTGGGTGATAAGAACTAATTAAACAAAGCTCATCTTGAGACGGCTGCGATCTATTGGAGTTTACTCTGAGATGCTACCATGTACCCAGAAGCTCAAAGATCTTTCCTGGAAACCCGTTGGCATCATCCTTAGCGGGGGTCCGTCAAGCGTGTATTCTCCCGATGCACCAAACGTGGATCCGCTCGTGTTCGAGCTCGGTGTTCCTGTGTTGTACGTTGAACGCCAAAAGAATGATGAAAAGGTTGCTAATGTGTTATGAAGAGGAGTCTGCTATGGCTGTCAACTAATTGGTATTATGCCCCCTGGATATGTCCGAGTGATTATTTACTAACGGCTGTCCCAGCATGGCGAGTAGACCCAAACAATGTGGCACCTGGCGTGGCCCGTGAATACGGAGAGACTTCGATGGCCATACGTAAGATTGGTAACCATGCTGACCGTCTCTTCGAGGGATTGGGAGACTCTTTGAAAGGTTCGTTTTGCAGATCTCGTTCGTCTACCTTGGCTTAATGGTATCTAACGTTCTCTGACTACAGTTGTAATGAGTCACTTTGACAAGCTCGTTCATTTACCCGACGGTTTCAAGACCATTGCCACCACCAAAAACAGCGAGTTTGCTGGCATTGCCCACGATTCTCAGCCCGTCTTCGGTATGTGTGTCTTATCGAAGCTGTCGCTAAGCTTTACTAATAAGCATGATTGGCAGGCATCCAATTCCACCCTGAGATCTCTCACACAGAGCGGGGAACTGACATAATCGCCAACTTCGCTCTCAAGATCTGTGGTGCCCGAGCGGACTGGAAAATGGACAACTTCTCAGAGCGAGAAATTGTTCGAATTCGAAAGCTGGTTGGCGACAAAGCACAGGTTGTATGTGTTCCCATCTTACCCAACGTCCTATGTCAACTTACTAATTACTTCGCAGATTGGAGCTGTTTCCGGAGGTGTTGACAGTACTGTGGCGTATGATACCCAGGTCAAAAGCTCTCTATCGAACACCGTTTTACTGACGCCTCCATAACAGGGCTAAATTGTTGACGGAAGCAATTGGAGACCGCTTTAAGAGCATTCTAGTGGACACTGGTGAGATCTTGTCGCTTGACAACGTATTTACGCCTTACGAGCAATGTTCTAATGTGCTTTAGGTCTGATGCGTCTGAATGAATGCGAACAGGTCAAAGAAACCCTGGATAAGCACCTGGGGATTAACCTTACTGTGGTGGACGGATCTGATCTCTTCTTCAGCCGTCTTGCAGGAGTCACGGAGCCAGAAGCCAAGAGGAAGATTATCGGAGAGACTTGTGAGACTTACCCCTGGAAGCTGGCTAGCCTACCATGCTGACCCCAGATAAAGTTATCGACCTCTTTGAAATTGAGGCACTCCGGTAAGCATATGCTCGTCCTCTTCTGAACCGTGGAAGACTAACTAACCTTTTTTTTACAGTATAGAGAAGGAAGCAGAAAACACACCGTTTGCCGGAAAGGTTGAATGGTTCCTCCAGGGAACACTCTATGGTCAGTTGTTCACTTTGCCCACCAAGAATCGAAAACATTAACACGATATAGCGGACATTGTGGAAAGTTTGAGTTTCAAAGGAGCCGCCAGTTCCACCATCAAATGTAAGTCTCCCTGTTGTTCATTTCTCGTTACGTCGTTGGGAGGGGCGAGAAGGGGAAATACGCCTGCGCTTTGAATGCCAAGGCAAACCCCTCAATCCCAACTTCTTATGCACCTCACGAATGCCGCCGCAGATACTAACAATTGCATAGCTCACCATAATGCGGGAGGACTTCCTGCTCGCATGCAAAACGGCGTAAGTTGCACCCAATTTTCCATACTTTAATGGGAAGATACTGATAAACAACAGGAGGCACACCTCAAGCTCCTTGAACCGCTCCGAGAACTGTACGTGATCAGGCTTGAATACGAATCTAATGAGAGGATAATTACTTGTCACGGTCGCTAACAATACATAGTTTCAAAGACGAAGTACGGGCGTTCGGACGCCAACTGCAGATTCACGAGGAGCTCATTGGGAGACACCCTTTCCCTGGCCCTGGTCTGGGTATCAGAATAATCGGCGAAGTCACCCGCGAACGCGTCGAAATTGTGCGCAAGGCGGATCACATCTTCATCTCCATGATCCGCGAGGCGGGAATTTATGACGAGGTTCGACGCGACCACCTGTCATCTGAGAGAACTTTTACTGATCGATTTGCCAGGTCACACAAGCCTACGCCGCGCTTGACACAAACAGAGGTAACCCCCTTCTTCCATTCTACGAATTAATATCGATATCTGACTTGCATTCGTCAACAGCTGTCGGTGTGCAGGGTGATGCCAGAGCGTATGGCTACATCTGCGTTCTGCGAGCCGTGACCAGCTTGGATATGATGAGTGCCGAGCCCTACGAGTTCGAGTGGAGTCTTCTCAAGGCTATTAGCAGACGCATTGTGAACGAAGTTGACGGCATCGCGAGGGTGGTATACGACACCACGTCTAAGCCTCCAGGTGAGCCTCCTGTATGCTTCTCCTTCGCATGCTTGTGATATTGACAGACCGACAGGAACGATTGAATTGGAGTGATACTGCTCACCGATCGAGTTCAAAGAAAATTTTTCCAGGCTGCCCTTTCAGCGCGGACCTGAGATGGCGTTTAGACGGATGGATTAGATTTGCCCAATAAAGGGATAGGTGTCTTCGCTGCGAATCTGCGAAATAGGAGGTTGCGACTCGACTCGACGCCCTAGCGACTCTGCAATGGAAGTCAATCCAGGCTAAGCGACGGAACACGTTACCTCCGAGTCTTGATCAAGGATAGTACTTGCCTTCCGTAGTCTCACGATTTCAATGATTATGTTTTTCTTTTGAGAATACTGGCGCTGGTCTCGTTAGGTTACCCAGTAACCACTTTTACTCAGTTCAAGCCATCCGGCTTCTCGGCTGGTGGTGGGGTTACCGGGGCGGTTCTTGCAAGGTCAGATTATAAAATGCTACTTCTGGGGGAATGTACTCCGAAAGACCAGCGTTGTTTAGCTAGATGGACACCTAAGCCCCCTTTATCGAACGGTATTGATTAGGCACTTCGTACCATATTGTGAATAGGATGCTCATCTGAGCTGATCACAACGTGGCATGAATTTGTTTCGTTTTCGAATATTGTAAAGATATATACGTGTTTGTGAACAGTCCTTCACAGACCCTCTAGTTGAAGTAGAAGCTTCGCCTGAGAATAGCCAAAGGCCAGCACATCAAGATCGAGCAGCAGCTTAACCGCAGCCGTGGAGTAATTATACTCACAAATGCGTCATTAGGTCCTCAGTGGTCATTGCCATCATTGATGTCCGCCACTAGCGGTAGGACAGTCGACGAGAGAGGCATGGTGAAGTTTGTCTATGAATTGGTTTGCGTGATTACTGGTTATAAGGATATACTATGTCTTATAAAGACGGGCTCTTAAGGAGATCAATACATAGGTCGATAGGATTTTCTGTGAAACAGAGTGGCCAGGAGCAGCAATGTTAACGAGCCAATGTTCCAAAATGTGAGGCTATCTCGTTTCATGCAGGGCTCTGTCACTTGTCACCTGAAGACCTGAAGGTTCATATCATGGTAACACAACAAAGGGCCATGGGCACAGTTTTCAGACTGCCCTGTTGATGAATCTCCATAGTCTCAAGATCATAAGGGCTTTGCGGCGTTCCGTTTGATCGATGGAAGACGGATCACCTGGATCTCCTATAACTTGAGAAGGTCGGTGAAAGGCCCTACGCCAACCTTCAATAACATCTGCAGGTTAATGTGGTCTCTGATAAGTCGATGGGCATCTATCGAATAAGACAATGCTGTGGCTTTGACAGCGGCCCGTTCCCTGACTCGATATACTGGCATGACAACGAGTAATGTCTCAGTAGGCGCTTGGGACATGTCCTGGGAAATGTCATTGTTTTGTGATTGGATAGCCCAAGCGCAGACATTGCATAAATGTCGATACAGACACAATCAATTGGATGAAAGGTGACGCTCTGTTGTCATCGGTCAATCATGGCATGAAGTTGGGAGACGATTCCGTTTGTGATGGTTGTCACACCTTGTTATGATTACTGGAATTTTCAAAATCGGTCTTTTCGGAAATCACAATAGGATAACTGCTAGTTTCCGTATTATTATTATTTTCGACAAACGCGCATGACAAAAATAGAACGGCCACATAGGAGCTTCTCTGATTCACAGAGCAACACGCCTTGCTAAGGTCGAGAATGCGGCTGTTGGATGCCAGGAGTTTCGTTATATTTGGCGGCTCTTTAGGTACCCAACTCAACTTGCTAAACCACTCAGTTTAGATTTTCTTAAAAGAAAGGCATTGCTCGTCTCTTTTGAAGAGTGAAATATCAGATATCTCACAGAAACAACACCATTCTACACTTCACCAAAGCCGAAGACCAAGCACAAACCGTCCATTTATTCTTAAAACTGCGACAGAATATCAATAATCTGGCTAGGCTTCAACCAGTCGCCCTATGGCCGGGTATAGCCTTATTTGTGTCTCATTTATTCCTACTCATCTAGCCGGCAGGATCTACATTCCCAGCACCAACAACTAGGTGTCAAGGGCAGAGAGCGAGGGAGAGAGGCAAGCCATCCAACTCATCCAATAGTTCACTCCCAGCAACAATCTAATGAGCTTGATCTGTCCATGTTCTTGTTCCCTGTCACTATCGGTTATTCTTGTTGCAACATACAACAACTATCCCATTTGCCACAAGCAATAATAACAAGACTCGGCGCAGAATAAAACTCTAAAAAGCTAGACAAGCCCAAGGCGAGACGTCATTGTCCGCCAAACTACACCACCCACCATCGCGCCAGTCAACGCCAAAGCCAACGTTACCACGCCAAAACTCTCTCTCATACTTAGCGTCAATCTTGTACCGATCTGTTCAATGGGCACATGGTTGCAGAGCCTCATGATTCAAGAATCAGCACGGTTGAACATTCTAGCTCGGGTCTGACAGCCCCCTTGGCCTTAGTCTGGGACTATTCGCCTCGAATTCAAGGGTTCACGAGGTCCCTGTCCCTGGCATCGAAGCCTGAAAGACTCATCTCCGCCAAATCTACTCCGTAAACCAGAACGCTTCATAGATACGTACCTCAACATCCCGCTCTGGTATCAACGACTACCCCAGTGGACCCGTTCGCAGCCCAAGGCCCGAGCCCGAGCCTGAGCCTGAGCTTGAGCCTAAGCCTGGGATCAAGGTTGTTTGTTGATGCGGTTAGGTTTGGGTATCTGAGTTTTCGGGCTCGAGTTCTCGTCGGTTGTCCCCGTTGTTGCTCTCCAAGAGCCCAAATACTCAGAGGTTCCATCACTCAATTGAGTTAGGAAGCCCGGTGAAAAGCCGAGGAAGGCTAAGCAAGTGCCACTGAAACTCGGCTCAGACACGGCGGGATATTGGATATTCTTGAGGTACCTACAAGTCAATGTCTGGTGTTGTCGAGATGATAAAATGTAGATGCTGTGAAAAAGAAACTGTCTAATTATTGCGCTATTAGGAAGAGGTCCATACGGTTACAAAAAGGCCGAACCGGGTAAACAACAACCCTCAAGTCAGTTCGATAGCCTTGACTACCTAGGCATGGAGGATTGAAGCGTCGGACCCTACCTGTCCTGCTCTTGGTGCTGACAATTGCATCCCGGCGGGGGACTCGCTCTCTGGCTCTTACCGAGATCATTACATACACATGGTCTGTTCTGAAGACAACGATTGCATGGGAACTTTGACTGTCGGCTGCTTCAACCCAGTCTACGTTTACAGCTTGCAGTCTCCGTTCTCCACGCCGCTACATCGATCGTCATCGGTACTCCCACAGCCCTCTACTAATAAGTTACTGATCAGGGGTTGCTGGCAGCTAGTTGCTCTACCCATAACGCAGTGCAATAGTCTGCTATTTTTCTCAGCGCCTTGAGGTGTCGAGGGTCTGTTCCGGAAGACTGATAGGCCTCGACTCTCGCAAAACACCATCAACCGGCTCTTTCCCCATCTTCTTCCTTCTTCCTTCTTCCTTCTCCCTGCAACTCTTCCCAATCTCACCATAATTCTTGGTCCTCTCTGGTATTGCCCCTCACCCCACCTTAACCACCTTTTTGGTGGTGGACCCTCGTACAAGAGAGAGCACACGCAGAGCAGAACAAAGAAGGGTTGGCTTTCAAGACGCCTTGTTAGCCCGATTGTATTCTCCCTCGACTCTGTTCTTAGCAGCATTTACGACTTGTAAGTGTCTACTGGAAGATCCCACTTTCGTACTTTAAATTTGTTGACCGACTGCTCGAATTAGCCCCAACCATTCAGTACACTAAAGATAGTCCTCACGAACTGGCTTCTTTATTATACACGCCTGAGTCTCATTTTACCTTTCAATCGGCCTACTGAGGTGCGAGCGAATTCAATTGCAGTCTCGGCTTTGTTCTACCAGAGAATTACCCTCGCTGCTCTCTATTTTCAATTACATCCTCGCAACGCAGTGTTACTGTTAACTCTGCGTCATCTCAATCAGTATCATCCGATCTAAACGCCACCACTCCAAGCGGAAGCGCATCGATAATAACAAAAAAGAAAAAAAAAAAAAGAAGAAGAAAAAAATATTCCTTGTCAAGTTCTCGACCTAGCCAGACATTTTGTTTGGCCGCAAAACGAATCCTGGGTCTTCGTCACTATATCAGACATTACCCTACCTGACCCTGCTATTTGCTCCCTGGTCCACGCTGACAAGGACTGACCAAGTTCGACCCCTCCTCACGTGGCCTTGGCTTCAAAGTATATGGTTGATTGCCGTCATCCTGCACCACAGAACGATACGCCACGGCTGCCTCCACCCAGTCCAACGTCTGGCGTCCCAACGCTACCGCTTTTCTCCACGGCATCGCCCTTTGTCCAACGTTTCTCACGACTCGCCTCCGATTTCGTACCTTTGAAGTTTCTCTCGCAGCTGGCTCACAACAACACACATAATTCGACAGCTCGGCAATCAAGTAGGCTTCGCAATCCTGTGTAGCCCCACGTCATCATGACGGACCGTCATCGCTATCCGTCCTCGGGACGAGCGGCCACCTTTGCAAACCATGCGAGAACTTCTCTGCCATCAAGCATTGGCTACACTTCTTTGTACGCTGGTGACATGCACGTCATGCCAACTTCGACCCGACAGCAGCCCATTTCGACGACACCACGAGGATATGTTACAACTACTTCTACAACACCAACCCCGAACACCACCACCCGGACGTACGCCGTTACTCAGGATCCTCGTTCACACAGACCGACTACACGGGATGTCACACGTTCCCAGCGGTCCTCCACACTAGACTCTACTAGTCGACCCCCAGTAATTGTCATGACCACCCAGAAGGACCGCGCCAACGGTACGAGTTCTCATTCTTCCAATGCTCGCCCCGGAAGTCCCTTGCGGGATGACTACCGCTCGAGCGATGGGCAGTTTTATACACAACCTGCCTCATCTATACGTTCACACAGCACAGCCCGCTCCTATGCCGATCAGCCAGGAAACGACACTTATGCTCGCAACAGCAGAGACCGTAGCAACAGCTTGGTACGCGACGACCCCTACCGCAACAGTCGCCATTCTGCTATATACCAGAATAATCCCCGCCAGAGCTCTAGTAATATCGACTATGGGGATGACGGTTATCAGTACACTAATGCCGGTGAACTGGTTCGCTACGACCTCGATCATTCAGGCCCTGCGAGGACTCGCAGACGTGAGAGTTTCGACCGTAGCTACTACCGCCCGAATATCAACTACAACGCGGATCAGCGAACGTTCAACGTGGATACCAGCCCAGACTTGAGTCGCAACTACATAACTACAAGCACAACCAGCGTCCCAAACAATCGGCAATACGATAACCGGGGCGGTCCTCCACCAAGTACACGAGGGTTTGACAAGATTCGAGGGTACGAAAGCCCACGGGATTTTGTTCCGATGCCCTCTAAGACCCCCGAACCGACCTCGGTAAAACAGGACACTCCCCTTGTTGCGACTACGGAAACCACAAGACGGCCTCGGCCAGTGTCATTGTATCAAGAGGGACCACCCCGTTCTTCGCATCACGATGATTACTATCGGAGCCGAGAAGACGAAAGAAAAATGCGAGAATTTCGTGATCAGCCAGAATCCGAGCATACTTATGAGCCCGAGCGCGCATACGAGGCACCATACTTTCAAGATGACAGAGTTACTTCCCGTGGCTTCGGCATCCGAACTGACACTGCTGATGAACACGATGATCGCCGTGAACGTCGCCCGGAACAACCAAAAAAGCGATCAGATGAAGACTTGCCACGTGATGCTGATTATGAACGCGATGATCGACGCCGAGGCCGGCTTGATTCCAAAGACACTCGCCGTGAGAGACGTGAGAGTAAGAAAGGGAGCGATGATGACGAGAAGGAGCGTACTCGGTTCCGTGACAAGGTGGCCACTGGCCTGGGTATTGCTGCGACTGCTGTAGGCCTTGTGCCTGCCGTCAAAGACGACGACAAACGCGACAAAGATCTCGGCAGACGTAAAGGCTCTGATGACGAGCGCGAACGTGAACGTGAAAGAGACCGAGATCGTGACAGGCGGCGAGATTCGATGAAAAGCGAACGCCCAAGAATCTTGGAGCGAGATCTATCGCGACAGCGTGATCAATCAAGGCAGCGTGACCAGGATCGTGATTCCAGAGAGGCCAGTCGTCGAAACGGGGAGTCTCGTAAGAGCACTGAAGCCGTTATCTCGTCATCTGATTCAGACGAAGCCAAAAAGTCCACTCGGAGACGTCGCGATTCAAATGCCTTCAATCCGAATGATACTTCTGAACTGCGGCATCTCAAGGACCAACTGGCAGCCTTGAAGACCACTGACAAAGAGAAGGAGAAGGAAACCCCGGTCGTGGTCGAAAATAAGTCACGGTCCTCTTCACCTACTCGAGAAACAAGAACAGCAACAGAAGCTCGTCCATTCAAAGACTCCTGGTCACCACCCGATTCCAAGCCATCTGGTCCTCCTGAAGAAGAATCCCGTGGCCGCGAATCCCAGCAGACCCCTCCGGACGACAAACAAGTCCGTGTAGTATCGCCTCCTCGCGATAAAAAGGATGAGAAGCCTCTCAAGGGTATCTTGAAACAGCCAAAGGTTAGCTTTCCAGAAGAGCCGAATCCCATTCGTGAAGGGGTTGCACCTCACAAGGAAGACAAGAAAGCCAGAGAAGCACCTGCAGGTGCAAAATGGACCAAGATCAGCCGTAAGATTGTTAACCCTGAGGCTTTGACCATTGGCAAAGAGAGGTTCGAGGTCAGAGATGACTTTGTCATAGTACTACGAGTACTTAGCAAAGAGGAAATTCAGGCGTATGCCTCAGCGACACAAGTCTTGAGAGGTACGTTTTAAATTTAAGCTTGAGTCTTGGCTTGAGCTGGTGCTAATTGCGAAACAGAGAGACGTCGCCGCGACGATGACGGTGGTGATACGGATCGGGATCGTGACCGTGACGAGGATGACAGGAGAAGACATCATCGTCATCGCCGCCATCGGGACGATGACTCTTCAGACTACGAAGACAAGGACCGTGACCGTGACCGTGACCGCGAACGACGCAGGCGTCACCGAGATGAGGAAGAATATGACACCCGGTCAAGGGATTTGGACCATCATCACCACCACCACCACCGAGCTCAGCGAGAACGCGAGCCTGTGCTTGAGGCTTAGTGAGAGAAAGAGTGTTGAAATCACCATACCACTATGGCTGAATGTTTTGATCGAGTATTTAAGCGTTGCATCGAATGACTCTAATGGTAGGGTTTTTTTCTTTCTTCTTTTTCTTTTATCGGATATATATTGAGCGTTACCACATATCACACATCAAGCATAAAAACCGGGCGATTTAGCGACGCATTCTGGATATACAAACATAAAATAAAATACATTCTGGTTCAGATTGTTCCTGCATTATTTGGCACCCGTCCGCCCCATATGATTACATAGTTCTGGGTGAAGAAACAGAGTTTCAACAGTCGACTCGCAAATTTCTCAGATCTCGGCCTAGAGGATCTCGTTGGAACGGCACGAGACTATCTTCAAGTTTGAAGACTGGAGAAGAGGGCTAGTGAAGGTACGTCACAGATTGGGTAGCAACATTTCATATTGGGTGCCTACAGTGGCAAAATGGTGAAGAGATGGGACTAAGATGTGATGGAGAGGTTGAGGCTTTCTTGGCTGCTAACTAAGGAGTTGGCGGGTATCGTATTTGCTCTTGTTGTCCAGGTCCATTCTATGTTTCACGACATTATAAGAACGAACCTCCAAGTTTGCAGCAACAAGTTCAGCTAGTTCCCTTTCATCCTGGAGGACCCAGAAGATGCAACCAGTCCAATGTCCGCTTCGTATGGTAACAGAAGTCGTGACGAGGACCATAACCTACGCCAGCGCCCGCATCAAGATGAAAGAGGGAATCGAGGCTTCGCACGGAAAGCTTCCTCATCACCTTTATGCTGGCTTCCGTAGTTCCATTCCCTTCACCGTCCAAACATATGTTCGAGCCATGATCACCCATCTCCTCCAGCACAAGATGTCGTGCGACCTCCCAGTCTGGGCTCAAAGCCGCTACCCGTGGTTCATCTGATATATCATGAACGAAAAGGCTGTGCATTGGCACCTCCACACTGAAGCAGAACGTTTGGATGTGATGTTACGTGCAAGTATCTTGATGCGTTAGGCACGGGTAGAGGCATGAGAGGAATGAAGCTGAATCATATCGACCCCTCTCATCCTTCTCAATAACGTCAAATTTCTGAACTTGCCCCGTTTACGGTGATTCGTTTGCACTCATCATATACTGGCGGTACGAAATTGGGCAGGGAGTTGAAGCTACCACCATGGCTTGACTCTCGCGATCAGGGTCCAAATGAGCGAACAAAAAGGTGTTATGCACGAGACGACCATCTAAAGGGGTTTTTAGAAGCTCTGCCTAGTGACTGAACTTGTTGGGGCCCTCTATAACAACAAGGGAGATGGCAGGAAGTGGTATAAAGGTCACTCACTGTCTTAAATTGCGTGCGGTGTTGAATCAACATGAGATCGGAGCTGGACAAGTAGAAGCCGTGATGAAGAATGCATGCGTTTCAAGTGTCCATTTCCGGCTATGGAAGCACCTAGATGATCTAGTCTTGTTCAAAGTATAAAAACGGACTTGGCAGCTGCATGATACTGCTACGAGTCGTGACCGTTCCAGGCTGCCACAAGACAAGCCATTCGGTGTCAAATTATCAAATGTTTTACTGTCCACTCATCCCAAGAATAGCAACTCAGCAGCCACGTCCCAAGGGGAGTGACGCCCAACCGCCGATCTCTGGCTTGATTGTGGCGGGGATAAAGACACGTCTAGATCTCCCCACCTTCGGAGATGATTTTAGACTGTGACAAAGGCCAGCCTACCGTGAATGGTCGCTGAAAATGCAAGTTATTGTGCCCCTTTCCCCATCTTATCACATTGCGTGGCTTCGAACGACTCTAGCCGGCCAATGAGCCGTATCGTGTGCTAGTTGTTTTCGAGACTAATAAATGGCATGTCTCAACATTTTCGAGGAGATGACGGATATGTTCCGCCTCCGAATGCATTTTCTTGGTAGAGGCAATGGTCTCAACCACGATGCATTTGAAGATTAGCTTTGCGTCTCTAGTATAAGATATCAGCCGCGTGGGGAAACAGGCAGCATGTCAGGGATCTCACGGGATTATTCAGAAATGACAGGGGGCTACTATTCAAAGCAGGTGTTGACAGGGCCTCTAATCCCTACCATGTGCTAGCATGTGTATGTATGCAGATTCTCGTTTGCCATCGGTACGGATGAGCTTCTCCAACTCGAGTCGGCGGGCCGCAGCATAATGCTTGCGGTTCTGGATCATCATGGTTGTGCTTAAAGGGATACCATCGGAACTATTGTGGGATTGTAATCGGGCTTCATATGATTCCAGGCTTCTCTCAGTTAATAGCAGTGGCTGGGTGGAACGAACGAATCGTCAATGCATGCGAATCTGCAGAGTGGTATGAGTCGATTTTACTGACTCCTCCAAAGGTTCCTGTGCTTCCCAAGCTGCCTCTTCATACTGGTGGAGTCTTCATGTCAGCGTGGCCAGGTTTTCCGACTCGCTATAGGACCCCTGGCTCTTATCAATTGTCCTTTGATTCATTGATGTGAGGGACAATAACTGTCTATGTCCTTGACGGCGTTCAATCAAAGATACTCCAAGTGTCAAGGAGATATCCTATGCCTTGATTACTATAAGCTTCTTGGTGACCCTGATAGGTATGCCTCGACATCGGATTTCTGTCATCGCCCATCGGCATTTGGTCCAAGTTGACTCTGTTTGTTTTATCGAATGAATGCTTTCTGTCTTGGGAATATGAGGTAACAAAAAGCTCCTGAAGGTGCCTATGACGTTGTCAATGAGTCTGAAGTAGGTGTCGGTCTCCTTCTATCTCTGTCATGAACTAATAGTATATATCTGTATTCATCTTTCACGCTAATGCTGAGCGGCTTATATGAGAGGTTTTGTGAAGTAGTTGTGTGACTGCACATGGAAACAGCATTAATCTGATATGAAGGTAACTAATCTGAGGTAAAGTGATCATGCTCCATATATTCACGAATGGATCTCAATCAGAAGTATGGGCTGTTTTCCTTCAATGCCCAGGTGGATCCGTCAACAACACCGGCAGTTGAGTTGGTGAATGGGAAGAGAGCCTCCCTGGTAGCTTGGGTCGAGCTCGGCTACACATTGAAATTTCAATTCGGTTACAGAGCTCCAGGAGGCTATCTGTAGGTCTTTACGCGCAAAGTTCTCCCACGAACCACCGTGGAAGCGGAACTCCTTGCCGGTGATGTCGTCTCAATTAGTCTTTTTGAATACTTGTGCTGTATGAAGCACCCCTGTCCGGGGATGACGGGCGCACCCCTTCTTTGCATCTTGGCTGTGCCTGGAAATGGCGGACCCTGGTCCAGCCGGACACACAGTCCCAGTGTCCCACAACGGCTGGTAGTCGCTCGAGTTGAGTGTGGGCTCACATCCCTGACCGACATTCCAGACATGGGTCGGTAGGAACCAACGAAGGACGTAACTCCAGTAAAGAGATTGAAGGTGCAAAGACTCGTCAGATAAAGTCGTTGGTGCGCGCGACATTGTATCATAGCTATCGTTGGTCTGGTCGTATACGATTCCGAGATGGGGATTGTGGAAGATAGGGGTGACTCAACTATTCTGTGGCGTGTAATGGTGTTCTTGCTCATTAGGGATCTTCGAAAATAGCCCAGTATGTCTGCTACCATAGCCCTCGGTTTGTAAGTTACATAGGTGTTTGCAGTCTGGTTCATAAATCCCGAGATTGTGCCAGGATATGATTTTAAGCCCTGAGCCCAGATCAATCTTGAACGGTAGGGCTGCGAGGATGGCTCCAGACATCGTCAAGAGTTTCGTGGGTTAGCTTGCGGCGACAACTAGGCACAGCACCTCTGGGCCCATGATCGCACATCGTGGATGGCAATACCGGGTCAGGGTCTGTGACAGCCTTGTGCATGTTGACAGGTGGTGCCCATCAAACACAAACCAAGCCCATGACGAACGAGTGTCAAGAAATCGCGGATCTATGAAAGGCCCCGGCCAGATCTGACGATAGCGACAGGCAGGGCTCAGATAACTAATTGTATGAGGCTGCTGAATTGGAGCGCGTGAGCAGGCACGATGTGCAATGGCTTTGAGGGAATGATATGCATTCATCAAATACACCCAAATACAATGAAGATGCGTATTCAGGCTGCAACTCCGAGGTGGGCTGAGTGTGAAGCCAACTTCCATCCTGATATCCTTCGGCTGTGCCTCGGAGCGCAGCGGGGAACACGGGTTCAGTGGCGGTAATGTCGTTGCACTGTTTCTTGGACTCCAATCATGGACTGCAATGCAATAGTGATCATATTGTTTTCGACAGTTGCTTCAGTGGACTAATACCACAGGGAGTATGGGACCACACAAGTCAGTGCAGTAAGTTACTTTGCATCCTCTTTGAGGATGCCAAAATCGACACTAGAGCAAAGTGAGAAGGTCCCTTGAACTGCAGACTCGACATCAAGCATGTAACGCGATGGCCGAGGTTGGTGACAACAGGTTGTCAGCCGTGCATGAGATGGGAAATGAGATGTTGATGAGTTTGACTCTGGGGCGACTTAGCGGCATCCTAAAATTAACTAGAGCCCAAGTTAGGAATAGTAACTTCTGCAGAGCAAGGCTTCACACACACCATCACTCCAGAAGTCCCTCAGACTTTGCACCACTCCCCACCTGCACTGCATGAGGCATCGGGACGGCTAGTACCATACATAGCGCTGAGCGTTGGCAGCTGGCGAAATAATGACAAGCTACAACGTACAGTAGTAGGGCAGCGATGGAGGGTGTCTCCAATAGGCTCTCGAGAGCCACTACAAAGTAGAGACAGATGGTGTTCCCATGTTCTGGAGAGGCCTGGGCCCGTTCCTGCTATGAATCTGCGGGTGAAAGGCCCTGTATGTTGATATGTTCGCTGCTGAATGTTGATTCGCAAGGCTGACATGAAGGTGGTAGTGGTGATGGTGATGATGTCGTCGTCGTTGTTGACGTTGGTCCAAAACCTTGATGTTTGAGTCAGGAACAAGGCGCGGGAGGCTGTCCAAGTACGGCACATGTTCCAAGCCACCACTTTGCCTCGGGTGGGGGCATCCTTCCTTGTAATTAAGCGGTTGGCGAAGGAGAGAGCCACAATTCGAAGCCGTCGAACTCACATGAGATTTGGCAGGAGCGTGGGCGTCAAGCTTTCCGTAGGGCAGGATGTTGGAGAATCTCTACATCGAGGTACATAGACCTCAGTACCTTACCTTACACCCCTAGGTACATCTCATAGCCCCCTTCACCACATTCACCGCTACCCACCGGCGTCTCTATTAACGTCCGTTGTGTTATAGATCCAGCAAAGAGATGCACTATCACACCAACTTCGTACATGCCGTGTATGTATTACGTTGTCCTTCGTCGCAGCGAGTCTAGTGTAACAAAGAACGCACGTTCTCCCAGGCTTGAATGCGCATAATGCGAATACACAAACAGGCATACATGAAGTTGTGGTTTGTGCTGGCACTAAGTGGTTCTTTCTGAGGCTCAGTTATCAGCGGCATCTATGCCAAGATTGGGAAATTTCTGCTCCAGGACTAGAATAGTCATTATTCTGGCGGTTCCTAATTCATGATGGTTGACTCTCAAGTGGGTATCTCGACACTAAATTTGGTGTTGGTGGCCTCTCGGATTGTCATCTCGTAACGTCGGTCGCTTATTTAACTGATTTCGTCGTTTTGAGTAAATTTTCCGTCCATACATTTGACGCAGCGTCAGCCCGCGTTTCTCCGGAGGTATTGATCGCTCATGTTTACAGCCATGTCCAACGTTGTCGCTGAATATTCACTCTTTACTTCGATTATCAGTATGCACCAGAGTTTTAAGCTACCTTATGCCACATGGACGGGCTATAAATTGTCATGGGTCACCCATTGCCGCGGGCTCTGGCAAGGGGCTTCCCTTGAGCTTCATGCCTCCCCTACCCTCCATCTCCCCATCTCCACAACTCCGAGTCGACGGACCACCCGTGACAACCCTGGTCTCCCGCTCCCAGCATTCAGGTCAATTACCGGGTTGGGTGACGACGGTATCTTTGAGGTTGACCGTTGGACGTTGAACCTTAAACAGGGGCTTCCCACCAAGATGCAATGCTCAACTTGGAACTCGGTCGCATATTGCATGCATTGGGACACCAGTCTGGTCATGCTGTTTCGACGATTGTGATGATAACCTTGCAGTTACCTATGCGCCCTGTGCGGGAATCGCCAACTCTGTTTGTTTTCTTGCTTGGTCACGTCGCTTGATTTCAGTGTTGAGTTATCACTAAAATTACTGTATTTGTAGTTCAATATGCTAGAATCAAAAGTCTGGTAAGGTTTTTGTGAATCACCTGACTTAGTTATATCACCTTGATTCTAGATAGCATACCCGATAGTCTTAATAATAACCAAGTGATTAATACTACATACATAATGAATCTTTCCTGTCATGTTCCTTTCACTATACTCAAAATATTTCACCAGTGTTACCTTGCCTACCCTGTACACATTTTATTATCCGGATCCAGTGCCTGGTGCTGAACCCTGCCCCTTGAAAGGCCTGTCATCTGCACGTACTCCCGCGAGTAGCTAGGTGGCATAGGGTGGCTGCCAGGGTCCCCCCCCCCGGCCGCGCAAAGAATCTGGAGAGAATGTCTCTAGAACAACAAACCTGACAACAGCAAGGGACATGCTCAAGAGCAGTTACAAGCTTATAGTATGGGCCACTAGACGATCACAAGCCCCCCAGCACGAAAGGAATAGATTTGTCGGGATACAGTTCTGCCATGTCGCCCAGGCAGTACGATAGAATTCAAATTGTTCGTGAATTTCCTAGACCGCTCAAATACTGCACAGTAGAGTTGCCACATATGCCATGGTTTATGTCCCCCTCAGGTGCGCGTTTTGGTCTTAAATTAGTGAGAAGTTTAACGCGGTGGCTTGAGGTGGAAGACTGGTCTCACGTAACGACCAGAGCCCAAACCTCAAATTGTCTCTGCTTCGGTACACCCGTTTCAAAGCTTAAAATACCAGTAACTTAGACACCGGTCTATTCCTTTGTCATCCTGACATACCTTGGGGAGGAGCAAAATTAAAATCGTCATACAGCAACAAGAAGAAAAGAACGACGTCTACAGCCAGCTTCTCTGCTCTAGTAATAACCAACCACTCCTCGCACAACCCATGGTCCAGTGAACCGCATGTCGCTCTAGCATCCACGTACTCGTTGGTTGTGTCCAGCTACGCGAATGCTGGTCATCCCGATGCCGATTCTAGCCCCCGTGTGACCATGTCAAGATCATCAATCTGCAGCAATCCATGTGGACTGCCTGAGCCCTTGTCCTCGAACACATGCCACAAAGGCTCGTGCTGCCACAAGATTTAGGTCAAATTGAAGATCTAAACACATGTGTGCAACCCATCTCGCACTGCGTCTCGCACTGCAACATTCCACAAGATCATCAATAAGGGACGGAAGCATTTATAGCATCACCGACAACCTGAACTACTTGCGTACTTGAGCTGAACACCGCATAACTAGGTGGACCGTGGCCAGACCGCCGGTCGTTTATCCCCAAAGCAAAGCACTCAGGTATTTGTCTTCACAGGACTGGATGCTGTTTATACAAGGGGAAGTTATCTACTATTTAGGCCATTGTTCTCCCACTTCATCACAAACTAAGGCAGTCCCTGCTTCACCCATTTCCCGCACCGACCAGAGTTAGCGTTGTCCCAAGTCTCTTTGACAGGCAACGGTTCCACCCACTACAATCGAAGCCTACGACGTCTCGTTTTGCCAACGGTCCGTTCAGTTAGGTTGGGGGACTAATAATTCCAGGTACCGAATTAAGCCGGATACGCTGCGCTAGCCGGTACTCTTCCACAACCAGAACCAGTTGGGATTCTCTTTGGTACCCCTGATAAGGTAGGTTAGCCATTACCGCCGTGCAGCTCCCCGCCCCCTGCCCTCACATGGCCGCCATCTGTCTTGTTTTGCTTCCCGAGCTTGCTTGGTTTGGGCCCTAGCATATACATCAACACTGATCAAGTGCTTTGTCTTGCGCGAACCAGGCTCGCTATTGCGGATTTGGTAGCGCGTTACAGCAAGCTCGGGTCGCGAAGAAGGGATATTGTGTCTCCGCTCATTTTATTGTGATTGCTGCCCAGTGAGCATCAGAAGCCGCTCTCCCGGGCCCAAGTTCCAAGCCAGGCCAAGTCAGGAGTGTGATTTCACTCAAGTTCACGCCCTGTAATTAAGGGCCCCGGCATGACTAAAGTCCCAGAGACAGTTGGCGGCCAGGGCTGGGGCAGTATATCTTGCAGGGCCGCGCTACCTTGATCTCTTGTCGCTGTTCTTTTTAATCACATTATCCCAGCTAAGCCCTGGCCGTTTCTGACAGTTGCCAGACCACTCTGCGAACACACGCTCATAGTTGAAAGGGTGTCTTACCTACAGAGCTCATCCTTGTTGATGTCACCGTCCAGAAAAGGTACGTGTGCGTCCTCAACCTGCATAGAACATCTCAAGACGATCGCGAAGCAATACCTGAACTGACACGAGACCATGCGCAGCAGTGATCAAACTACATCTCCATATTACTTCGAAGAAGGCCATCGCGACAAACAAACCGACCCTCCGGCATCGCACTATAGTCGCGGCTCCTGAGCAATTCTCGAAAGTTTGACAGGGATCCGCGCTCCTGGAACCAGCACGTGGAAAACGTTACCAACAACCTCTTGTGTGCCACCTTCAAGAAATATCACAGCCGCTGCTTGTTGTCTGTTGCTACACCACTCCAAACACGATTACTAGGTGCGTCGAATTTTATGGTCCGTTTGCTCCTCGCTGCAGCTGCAAAAGATACAAAGCTGCAATTGTCCTACGGTGTCGTTTTTCTCCCACGAAATTAGGACCCGCAGAGGCTTACTAGTATATTTTACTAGTGGCTTCCTGCACGGCTTAAGGAGACGACCATCCGATCATCATTGCCTGCATTCTTTTACCAGCGTAAATAAATTGAGAGAGGACCGAGTTGATTTTTATCCTATTTCACCATACTGACATGCCGCGCCTTCTAGATTAGCGACTCTGTTTCAGACTCAAGGCGCCACTCCGTCTCACTCGTTAATCACGACTAAGTCAAACGACGGCACTTGGCATCCCACAACAATTTTAGGAAGCTCTGGTAAGTTCGTTCTTCGAAGGCACATCCCTTCCATTCCATTCAGATCCAGAGACTGCATCCTGGAAGAGGACCTTGGTTGGCGGATCTCTATCTGACGCACAACGTACTGCTTATACGGGACTGGTAATCACGCCACTTTGGCTATGGTCTACAACGAACATCCTAGTAGAGCATGCGCTGTGTGTTGACCTAGCTGGCTCAAACTGCGCTTCCGCTTTACCCAGCAGATTGCTAACGATGAGCATTTGACAGCACCGTTGACGATTTTTACCATTCCCCATGACTGTCAGCATGTCGTCGAGTCGCCAAATGCCGGGCAACTTCAAACAGGAGCATGGAATACATCCTGTAAGTATCAACTCTTATTGTTCTGTTTGTCTTATCGATTTGCATTTTGTGCAAGAACCTGGAATATATTGCCTCAGCAAAACTATGGCTAGGTCACTTCAGTGACGACCATCAAATGACATCGACATCGTTCGCGTCGCGGCTACCGACGCGTCTGGGAGACCCAGCATCAAGTGAAGGCTGGAGTAGGCTGTCTGTCGTTACAAGTTCCCGGGAATACCAAGATTTCGAGATGCGTCCCGCGCAATATGCCTGTCGCAAGCTTGACCAGGTCAGGAGCCCCAAGGTGGGTTGAGCAGGGTATCTCTTGTTTCACCATGACCGGGGCGGCCGCAGGGATCAGGGGAGGGGGTGAACAGCTCCAGCCTTCTTGACCAGATGCTCATTTCAAATCCCAAAGATGGGAGAGACAGACCAGGCTGAGGCGAAACGTTGCGACGTATCCTTCTTGACAACCGCGTTGAGGGAAACGGCCAGCGACCTCGCATGCACTAGCCACACCGTTCTGTTCAAGCCATCAAGCCATATTTTGGACGCAACGGGAGTGCGCAGACACTGTTACAACTGCCCTTCACCAGCAATCACGAAAGCCAAAATTTGGGTTTTCGAGGTGCCACAGAAGCGCCACCAAGGCCAAAGTTTGGCTGCTATCCACTTAACGGTCGCGAGGCTGGCGACACAAGAGTGCAAGTGTCAGTCAACCTGCCGACCAAGATGTCCACCACACCAAACAATCCAAATCTCGTCAATGACGCGCCGCGGCTGCGCGGAGCAGCACCCGGTGGATGATGCCTGGGAAAGAGGCCGAGAAGGACGCTTAACTCAGCTGAGAAACGTCTTAATTTTCTTTTTGAGATGACAATACGCGACCAAGAACACCAGAACAGCGAACGCTTGGCGACCCTGACCGCACTATTCTAAGTGGGTACAGACTGTATCGGCGGTGCTCTTCCAGTGGGGCGCTGGGCTGCAGATACTGGTCTGCCCATCCTGATTCAGGGCGTGGCAGAACGATCATCAAATGTCAAATGTCGACAGAGGGAACAACGGGACGTGACGTGAAGAACTGAACGCACGTCCTCGCCTACATGCATCCTTTTCACTGCGTTCATCAGCATCACCACTAGGATACACCAGTGGTGACGTACTGCATTGACATCGAGCAAGCGGCCTCTTGCAGGAGCAGGCTGCAATATCCACAGCCGCAAGCCTCGAGGGCCCAGTTCATCTAGAAGGAAACAAGCACCTATACGCGAGATTTCGCGCATCAACGTGCGGTACTCTGCAGGTACCTGGACCCGGACGGAACTCTGTACACCATTGCTCCCGCAGTCAGTGACCGTTGCGCGTCAGTCGAGTTAAAGCTCCAAATCTCTAGCCGGGCCATTTTGGGGGCGGGTCAGCGCGAATGACCAGGGGATTTGAGATGGGACCATCAAAGTCGACGGTTGAAAAGACGTTACCCACACCGCCTGTGGCCAAAATAGGATCACCAGGGAAAAGCCAATCCCGGTGTATTCCTGGCCCGTTGGCTAGCCCCGGTTCTCGTGTTCCCTATTGGGCAGCTGCTCCTTTCTGGGCGCCTTGGTGAGGCGACCATTGGCCACTTAATCAAACCCAGCCGACCCCTGTCACGTTTCTTCCATGCGTTGTCCTCCCCGGAGACATCTGCTTGGGCTGCCGACACACGCTACGCAACAGTATCTCGACTTGCAGGTACAGAGGGACAAGTACCTACCGGCAGTACATCCTCATCATCTTACCCGTGTCCTCCAGCCCGTGGTCACCCCTCTGTCCCCTTTTTCTGAAAATTGGATGGGTCGAGGTCTGAATGGGTGCATAGCTGGAGTGTTCTTTTCCGGTTCTTGAAATCGGGGTTGAGCTTTCGCAGACACACCACCCCGGTTGCACCACTTGCACTTATTCCCACTCCTCATTGTGTGTCGCTGCTGTGGGCTTTGTACTGCGATACCTATTACTGCTTAAGCTGGTGAACCCTTCTCAAAGGACATTCACTAGTTGTCCACCGCTCCGGTCTCTTGACCCCAAAGTAATTTATGCTCCTGGGGAATCCTGCGACAGGGGTGTCGTCGCGGACTGGCACAATTGCAGCACTTTCATATCATCCCTGTCCATTTCCAGGCAGACCCCTCCCCTCTTGACAGCATTTTACTCTAGTTGAACCCTGACCTGGTGGCGCCCGCTCAACTGCCAGACAAGCCTCGTACTCCTGGTTCCTATCCGCTGGCTCAACAGTTGCATCTTAATTGAGCACTTGCCTGGTCTGCCATCCCATTAACCAGCTCATTACCCATGGTCCAGTCGCCCATTCTCTATTATCCACTTGGGATCATACCTTGTTCTCATCCCCATACTGCAATCTTGGTTCAAATACCCGCTCCCCTGCCCCTTCGTTTCCCCCCCGTCGCCCACCCTCTAGCACACCCTTCGTTCGATCGATCTTGTCTTCTGGCGCTCCAAAGGCCTGCTCTCTTTTCCTCGTCCCTGGCACACGAGCTTTAACCTTCGAGACGGAGACAGTTTGAAGGTACCAATTGCCAATCTCTCTCCAACCACATCCAGCCAAGCGGTATAGCCACCCCCCAGTGCCCTCCATCCCGTGTTCTTCGCTGTAGCCCTTGAGAACCGGGTTGCTTTATCATTATTACCACTCCGAGCCTAGCCCGCCTCACCCGTGCAATCCCAGTCCTCACCAGGGGACATCCACTTAAACCAGCTCCCCAGACCTGGGTACTGGCAAGGGGAAAATAAAACACCAACGCGTCCTTGACTTTGTACTATTTTCTTTCTTCGACCCGTGCCTTATAGCTTCATTTTTTTTTCACACGTCACGTCCATGTCTGACTAATGGGTCTTCTCTCTATGCAGCATCATCCACAGCACCAGCAACAGGGTCATCCGCCTTCCCAACACTTGCAACACTCGCGACCCCCGAGTGTAGTTCACCAGCAGCATCACACTCAACCTCACCAACCGCCACAACAGCAGCATCCAAGCGCGTACTCGTCCACGCATTCCCTTCCCCAAGGGTACCAAACCAGTGCTCAGGCGCCTAGCAATCAGGACAACCTCAACTACTACAACCATCCAAGCCCTTACAGCACACCTGGTGCCACAAGCGGATACACATCCGCAGGTAAGTTCTTGCTGGCTTGAAAGCATCCCATTTTCGAAGTTCGCGTTTCAAGACAGTCACTTACATTACGCAACGTAGATACCTCCGATATGATGGCCGCAGCACAAATGCCGAGACCTCCCTACCCTCCTATGTCCTACCATACGCCTCAATCCAACTCCCCTGCTTCAGTCGCATCGCCCTCGCAACATGATCAACATAGAAGCATCTATGGCCAACCCCCATCGCAGCATCTTCAACAATCTATGTACTACCAGCCGCAGAATCAATATCAGACTATGCCTCCTCAAGCTGCCGCCTCGCCCTATGCGCAACACGCGCCACACCCCCAACAGTCCATGACATCGCAGCCCACCATGATGATGTCTCAAACCGCACCCCAGAACCAAATGACGCAGCATGCTGCGCAACATGCGCACGCAGGAATGACCGGTAGTCCTCGGCCCAAAATCGAGCCTCAGGTGCCTCTGCAGCTCCAGAAGCCTCAGTCATCTCCGATGCAGCAGGCTCACCACCCTCAAAACGGCGGACAACTGCAGAGCCCAGGAAACACCACGCCCGGTGTCAATCCAAGCGCAGCACCAGGACCTATCCCCGCCACAACCCCTCTCGTTGTCCGACAAGACGGTAATGGTGTACAGTGGATAGCCTTTGAGTACTCTAGGGACAGGGTCAAGATGGAGTACACCATCCGCTGTGATGTTGAGTCCGTCAACATTGATGAACTATCACCAGAATTCAAGCAGGAAAACTGCGTCTACCCCCGAGCATGTTGCCCCAAGGACCAATATCGCGGCAACCGCCTGATGTACGAGACCGACTGCAACCGTGTTGGCTGGGCTTTGGCCGAGCTCAACATTCCCCTCAGAGGCAAGCGAGGACTTATCCAGCGAGCGGTCGACAGCTGGCGCAATAGCAACCAAGATCCCCGACTTCGCAGCAGACGAGTTCGACGCATGGCAAAGATGAACCAGCGCAAACAGGTTCAAGCTTCTCCGCATCCCGGTGCGGCTCACATGCCCGGCCCCAGCGGGCCTTCAGGGATGCCTGGAGGTCCAGGACCCATGGGACCTGGTCCCGCCGCAATGGGCAAACCTGGTCTCGGCAGCATGGGTCAACCAATGCACCACCACCAGCCAGGAGCTCACCCTGACGGTACAGGACAAAGTGGAGGAGATGAAGTTGGTATGTTCCACCAGATGTGATTGATTTAAACGACACTCGTGTCGGCGTTTGCACATGGCTTTTTTAGCCTCCACGCTCCCATCTGCCTCGCCCCTTCACTACCCCTCAACTCATCGCACCGCACCGCATCATCAAAAGCTCTGCTTGACCAACGTTGTGTTGATTAATTGATACCAAACGCACTTTGTTTTTTTTCCTTACTGTCTTACAAAATCTGTTCCTCCGCCGCAGCGGCTGTATCTACGTCTTTACTATCTCCATTGTTTCGGTTCGCGGTTCGAAAGTTTGGGAAATGGGTTTGTCATCTCCTTTCTTTGTGTTTTCACTGCCTGTCAAAGACGACATAGGCGGATGTTACTTATATCTATACAGCATGCCGCAGTGGCTCTCGAGGGATTATGAGGAACTCTTTATTTGTTTATTGGCACAGTTCTGTACATTACCATAAAGTCGCGCCTGCACAGTTGCTGCTGCTACTGTTAGTTGTTTGATTTGCTGCTGGGTTTTCGCGACTCTTAGACGAGTTCAATCTGCCAATTGGCTTTAAAAGTTACCGTTTGTCTTTGGTTGCCTCACTTAGATCAACCTTGCAAGCCTTATCCCTTCGTTCTGCTTTAATCCCTGAAGCTAGATACTCTGAGTTTGGTCATGTTTTGCATTTGCTGTCGCTACTGCTCATCCTATCCACGCCTTGTCATCATAAGCACTCACGAACTGAATTTGTATTTGGAGACAAGCTAACAAGAGATGTTCATAGGCGATGGCAATTCCTACGAACACCATCACCACCAAGCCCCTACCACCCAGAACCCATCAAGTAATGACGATGTGAGACCAGCCCATGTCTTTACTGGGTACAATAATCAGCCTTATCCCACTAGTGCGCCAATGTCTCACATGGCTCCTCACTCTGGGGGCGCTGTCCCAGCCAAGCGCCACAGCAAAGCCAACGCTGATGAGCCTGACGATCTATTCCCGGATATCCCTGAAGCTAAGAAGCGAAAGTTTATCCTTGTCGAGGACAACGTTCGCGGATCTCGTCTCCGGGTCCGGGTCACCCTCGAGGGCGTCGATACTAATGAGATTCCCGACAGCTTCCGCAAGGGTGCCAGTGTCTTCCCCCGCAGCTACTTTCCCCGGGAAATGCAAAGTCCTCCCCCCAGTGCCACCGGCTCGCGTTTCTTTGGTGAAGATCATGATGACGATGGTACCGAAGAGACCGAAGGCCGTGAGTCTAGCCGCCGCGGTGTTAATAGGACTGGCAAGGAGATGGTCAAGGTTCCCATGGGCGAATCCTCAGGCGAGATTGCCATTCCCCGAATGAGGAAGTCGACCCGGGGCAGGGAAGTCCGTCTCAATGATCTTGGCTACCGCATGGCCTGGCTACAGAGCCGAGTCTTTGCGGGTCGGACCGTGTTCTTGCAGCGAGCATGTAAGTTGTCACAATCACTCTTTGGTAAATTGATTATTAACAACTTGTAGTGGACTGCTACCGTAACAAGACGCGCGCTGCTATTGAGAGTGTCATGCAAGACGTCAAAACTGTTGCCCCTCATTACGAAACTCGCGCTGGCAAGAGGCGATGGAATGAACGCATGCGACGTGGTGCGAAGGAAGACGACGAATAAAACCTATCCCTTTACTCTTTGGCCTTGTTTTTTTTTTGATCAAACCCCAAGCTAAAACACTGTCCTTTTTGTTTTAAACATCCCCAGCTGCATCATCGATATTAGAGATTGGTTCTCTCATTGTTCGTCTCATATTCAACGATACCATTCTGCGATGGCATCCAATGGAGGTGTCTTCTCTCTTGTTTACTACACCATTTTCTTCTCTTGACTTGTCGCGGTTGCCTTACCACTTTCTCTCGCATCAATATTGTTTTATCAAAGCTTACTGTTAGCTTTTCTCGCAAGCTTTGTTTTGTCGAAGGTGCTGGAGCTTAAAGCCTTTTTTGTCATCTAGTGGCTCCTGTATATTAATGCTACAAAGCAAGATACAAAGATTCCACAGGAATGGGAGCTACACATACAACAAGCTGCCGTTGTGAACATTAGGAATACCACATATGCTTGTTTGATCATAGCAGCAGTTGGTTCAGCCGGAGAATGGATTAATTACATATGGAAATGGAAGAAGAAAGAAGGGATGATTTAGTGCTTTGGTATCGACCAAAGCCACCTTTATCACAATACTGTGTATTTATCGTTGGGAAGAAAAAATTATATTGTCTTTGGCCAGTAATGCTTTGATACTTTTGTGATATAATAATACAGCGTCTCGTAACGTCGTGTCAAGAAAGATGTTCATCTGTGTGAGGAGAACAATAGGCGAGAGGAAAGCTTAACACTCATGCTACCTCAAAGGAAGATGTATCTCAAGTATGCAATGTATTGTACCATGCCAATTTTGTCTTTATTCTCACATATTCGCACTCTAGCGCAGAGGAAGCACATTTCACATAGCTACTTGAGTTTAACAACCACCTTGGTTTTTGGGCACTCTCCTAAGGAACCTAACATAGGTAGAAGTAACTGTATTCGTCAGGGCTGTTAGACTTGAGCTTATTCTAGAGAGTACATGGCTAGAAGCGCCTCTGTCGCTAGTATTCGGAGTCTTAGGTCTTATTTCTTCGTCACTTTTCAGATAAGTTCAAAGCTTTATGACGAGATGCAAATAGCTCGGGAAAGTTGGCCATCTTGAGTCGCATGGCTTAGTATGCTAGTGGTATGTCGTCGAATTTCCAACTCTGTGAGTCTTGCGCTGAGCCTGGATTCAGTTTCGAGAGCTGGCACGTGAGCCAGAATTCGAGAAAGCACTGAATAATCCTGGGTCTTCATTGGCTCAGACGATCTGGAGTTCTCTGACTGCGCGCTTTCGTGAGGTTGCATTGGTCCAGGTGGGAGAGCATTGATAACCGCGAGGACAATGTCACAGGAGATCAGCCATTAAGATTATTGTACATGATAAAGATATGCCACCGTCTAGCTGGGACAAGGTGACACAAGGTGGAGTGCCAAAAGACCAACTGGTAATACTATATGGATATTAGGGAGATATTGTGAGAGATACATCCAAATACGAAGAGGAAGACGAAGAACAAACACCAGATTTTGCTGTGACGGCAGTGCCCAGGGCCGTATCAAGGGTTTCGAACCGGTTCATTACTATGCATAATCTGAAAAATGAACGCAAAATACTCGCTCGTGGTTTTATCAGACATGAGCGAATGGGGTCTAACAAAGATGGTTGAGCTACTCACAGACATACCTCAAGAAAGAGGAGCCAGTCCGCGGACATTAATAAACCAGATAGTGAGATTCCTGTTTCCTTACAGGCTTACAACCGGTTTGACATTTCATTTGTACTAGAAAATCTAGATGATCTCGTTTGTATTCTTCTGGGTGTGGGCGCCATCAGAATTTCTCACCGCGTGTAAACCAATGATTGGTATGTTTACCTGCTATGGAGGTGCTCAGCTTAGGCACATTCTCAGGAGGTAGCATGCCAGATTCTTAAGAAAAAAAATCCCCAGACATGCAAGGCTACTCCAGAGAAACATAAGACTAGTAACCCAGATGTCATGCTGGACGAGTAGATAGTGACACCATAGGAATCCCGGGGAATTAAGATGACCTTCCAAGGCATTCAAATCGTAGGGAAAGGTAACCATTCAATTAAATCAACATTATGTTAAACAGTAACCGTAAAATCAATCATGGAAATATAACTTGGAAGAAGGAATAGATACGTAGGGAGTTTTATATGAGATGCTGGCAAGGTTGTTGATGATTTTTGTCAGCACAAGCGGTGAAAGTACATATCGTGACTACAGTCTTGAGTCATAGTCATCCGCGGAACTTATTCAACGCTTCTGGTGAAACAAGAGGTATCTTAAGTGAAAGATTATTCAAGCCCCATATGACAAACAAAGACGGATAACGGGTTGTATCTGATATGTCAAACAAGATACCTTAGGCGGCAGAATTGCTAATGGGTCGCCACTTTATGAGTGGTAAAAAGAGGAATGACAAGTGAGAACGATAGGATGTATGTGTTTACATGGAGCTGTTATTTATTGGCACGAGGTTTTTAAGACTTCTTTTTCTCGTTCTTTTCTTTTTGGATGTACATGGTCTGTATTCTCGAAACAAGCCAAAGAAACGCTAATACATTGATTGATCTGCGGGCAGGACCATATCCTTAACCGAATTGTGTCCCAGACTCATCTGTACAACTTATAGTTAGACTGATAAAGGTGTTTCGAAGATCATATTTGAAGTATGTTGTGGCCGTTTAGATTATCGGTGATTGTGAATATGCCAAGAACCGAACCTTCGAAAGAAGCTTTTCTCAGCCAAACCAAAGATTCGACACAACACCCCCTGTCATGACCAATATAGTGGCTTAGCTTCAGCCCGAGACCAATTCCCACCAAAGCCAAGCCACATAGGGTCTTTCAGCTGAGTGGAAAGCATGTCACTGGAATGCGGGTGGTATTTTTAGTCCTACCTATCTGAGACCAGGGTCTCAGAGCTACAAGAACAAGAGAAATGAAGACGACAGTACTATGTCCCTTTCAGGCAAGTGCACTAGTTAGGTAACTCAAGTGCAAGGCAGTCACATTGTCAAGGCAGCCCGCAAGGCGTTAGAGCCTCCCTTTCACCCAACTCTTCCACAGCCCTAAGTTAACATCAGGCCTTTTCTTTCAACCTCGAATACACGTTATCTCACCATATAATCGTCTTAGATAAGACCACTGTATATTGCCGCTGGAAATATGGTCCGGACCCCTTATTACGACGGCAATCATCCGCCTCCCCTATTCGTCGCTGAACTTGACAGTGAGCCAGGACGTCCCGGTGATGCCCCATCTCATCATAGGCCAGATGGAACACCTGTGTTCGAGATGAGCGGCGAGCCAGTGCTTCCGCAGCATGGTCAAGATGGAAACCAATCTAGTCTTTCTAATAAGTGCCCGTCGTCCCTTCAGGCCCTGGGTGCGTCCAAACCAACACAACAAGACCAAGAGGACCAGAACAAGCCAAGCAAAGACACATCCACTGCATCCCAATCTGTCATGGCCAATCCCTGGGCATACTTCGGACCCGAATCTTCGGATGATAAGTTAAAAGAGACGCAACGACCTCAGACAGACAACCGTCGCCCATCAGAGCCAGTGTACAGACCCTATCCTGGCGATAGCGATGACAGCCCTCCAGAGGTTCCTCATGGCACACGGCCATCCACCAATCCTTCAAGCCCAGACCTCAAAAACGAGGACTATGCCTTCTATCCTGCACCGTTGAAACTTGCCCATCGTCCTGCCAATGCAACTTCCCCTCCTGCCTTCAAGGCGTATGTTCCTCCAGTGTCCCAGGAGTCATCTGATTTAGAGCCCAAGCCTTTAGGCCGGCCTGATAGGACCGACTCGCAGTCGCCAACGGCTCTAAATGCATATCGGCCATATAGGCCACATTCGACTCAGCCTCCTGCTTCATCTGTACCAACATCCAATACTCATCCTGCCACCGCGTCCTCTAACCAGAATGTCCCTCCTGCATCCCCTTCAAAGCCCCCAGAACAACAACCACCCGGGACAGTTTCCCACCAAATCACCTCGACAACACCTCCGAGCCACACTCCAAATCCTCCAGCTTCGGGTGCTACTCTGCCAAAGCCAGCTGCCAGTCTTCCTGCCTCCCCGAAGCCTCAAACGCAACAATCAGAGCCACAGCCGCAACGACAGCATGGCATTCCGAACGCTGCTCCGGCTCAACCAATGCCTCCATCTACGTCGACCTATCTTCCCTCCCCTGTGACCTCCCCAGTCCAGTTATCCTCAGTTGTTTCTTCACCGGCAACTCCTGCGACGAATGCTGGAGTTCCCTTCACTCAGCCACAATATGCTGCTCACGTTGCTGTCCAGACGTACGCCCAGACACCTGCATCTCTTGTTGATTCACCTTCATCAGTAGCATCACCAGGTCCATCTCATCATGCTGGAGTGCCATTTGCACAGCCGCAGTATGCTACTCCGGTTCAAGCACATAACTTTGGATTAAACCAAACCAACATAACCGTCGCACAAGCCCCGGCATCTGTTATGCCAACTTCGGCCAGCAACTCATCACAATCCACTCCGGTTCAGTTCAACTATGGTGTGCAGCAGCCAACTTATTCATCTCCAGTAGAACCAGCGCAAAGCACTTTGAATCAAGCATCCCCTCACCTACCCGCCCCTTATCAACAACCAATTACATCCGGGCCTAAGGTACAGCAAACACACGCGCAACAGCCGAACACGAGACCATATGGCACACCGGTGCCGACAGTGATCCCACAATCACCCCCACCTCCATATGCGTCTCAGGACACCAGCTTTGGAGCTGGAGCGCAACAATCTGGACCAGGAAATCCCACGATGTATCAACCATCTCCAACCGGTCCTTACCCTCCTCAGCCTCAGTATTCTACCCAACCTACCTACGCTCCGGCTACTAGTCCCCCTTTGCCGGGTCACTCAGGAAACAGCCTACAGCCTCCGGCTCTCCCTCCCAGGCCATCCTCATCGCAAGGCTTTGCTCCCACATCAGGTTTCGGTGCAGGTCCTGCTGGCTACAACCCAGCCAGCTATCCTCGTCCACCACAAACATATTTCGCACCTCCTCCTGCGCTGCCGCCACGGCCTGGCCTTGGAAAGCTAGCTGGTGGCGGCGGAAAGTTATTTGGCAGCAGCTCCGCAGATAAATGGCTAAAGAAGACGGGCCAGGTATTGGAAAGTACGTTGGCACCATATCTTCAAGGACAATCAGGACAATCGGCATCCTATCGACCGGGCTCCAATGGTTTGCAAGGACAACAGGGACAACCGATGCAGCAGGCACCAGGCCAATATCCCCCTCAAGGCCACCATTTCCATGTACCTCACTTGGCTCCTCAGTATAGAGGTGCTTCAGAATGGGGACATCCACCACAGGGACCCAGCGCACCAGGATACTAGATGATTCTGTGTATATAGCTCCCTTGAAATTTAGTATACTTTGGTGCCCATTTAGTTAGTCATGAGGGACCTAATTGTCATGGGACAACGAATTTCGTATGCATGCCTTTATAATAAACGAGAACAGGAGAGCGCAGCTTTAGCTCCTAAGCTCATCTAAGAGATTTGTCTCCTTCCTTATAAATATTGAGCACCTCGTCGAAAATACACGGCTTGATTCTACAGACATAAAATTGCGGCCCTACTAAAGCTGGTCAACTGTGACACAAGGAATAACATATCATAAGAGGTACTTATCGATAGAAGGCTTTGAGCGATATTTCTTCTGTCTTCCATTGGGCGAACTCAAAGCTCTGTACCAGCTTCAACGGAGTTTAAAACATGCTACATGACTTCTACATGATCTCAAAACGATTTTACAGGTTCACTCCTAAGTTGGTGCTCTGTTTGATCAGTAAATAGGTAATGTATGTGATTCAGTTAGTGACAAAAACTGATCATTTACTGAGAAATAGGAGTCTATTCAAAATAATTGCTCAGTAGACTACCCTATCGATAAGAAGAATTATATGTTGGGTGACATCATCATGAATTGACCACAGGCATTGCGTCATGGGACCAGATCTGGCTGGCTCCCTTTGCTGTTGAACTATGCTCAATCATCAAGTATGGGTTTCCATGATAGTAATAAAGAAATTCAGATGCCCGTCTCCTATGGTTACCACAAACTCGGTTGTGTTGAATTACGGAACTGAAGCCAAGAGCAGTCACACTCACATTGACTTACTCGGCTTATGATGGTGAAAGCGAGTTGATGTCTCGTAGGTAGATATACCTAGGGCCCTCAATATGACAGCGAGCTGCAAATTGTGACACGTATAAAGAAGAACCTTACTACCGCCTGCCAGGTTGAGAATATTGCCTTGGTATTATTTTAATCAGATGGTGGGAGACTCAACTACTTCTGCGGAGGATGATGAAATATTTAGTTATGGCTGAGGAGCTCGAGAGCGGAATGATTGGGAGCGGCATTGACCAACCCTGATTCATCCGCTGTTAAAATCCTCATCTGGCGGCGTCTGGCTTACCTGGTGCCTGCCACGCTTTCAATGTGTTTCATCTTCAACGTCGGGCGTACAAACTCAAGTGGTGAATGGAGACGCCTTCAATCTTGGGAAATCAAACGTGCATGTCATGGAGAAGAAGCTCTTGTAGTTCTGGGGCCAAGGAAGCGTAGCGAGATGGTGATTGTCACAGGGGGTACCTTGGGTATGGTCGCACCATATAACTACCTTACCCATAGCAGCACAGGGTAGCTATTTTCAGCTCACTGACATCCTGCAAGCCATCACAGACCCTGGCGTCTCGATGCACGCAGCCGGTGGACAGGTGAGGCAGATTACACGGCGTCGCTCCTTAATTATCATTCGAGACTCGCACTGCTGTAATCAGCCGGGCTATACGGAACAGCACCAAGCCTGAGTGAGCCATCCATCATGTGAGCTTTGGAAGCGCGGTCACCGTGATATTGACGTATTGGAAGGTGCTGCAAGTCAGTTCTCGTGACATTCTTAATGCAAGAACCCTGAAAGCCCATGTACGTAGCGCCCTTTGCCAAAGGCAGACATGAATTAAATAATGTGTGCTATGGGTTTGTTGAATGATAAGTCGGTGAGCATGGTGGTATGGTCACGAATGGTCGGTTCCGAAGGTAAACGAAGGACGGACAATATCTCAGCTTTGTAAGGTTGAAGAAGAAAAAAAGTTACAAGTGAAAATCCATCATTCTAATGTTAGTTGGCTGTACAAGTCCAACAACTAAACTGCCAATACGGCCATCTATTTGTCATTCTCATATATTTCATCATAGAAGTTGTTTTCATATTTTCTTCTCGGCTTAGTCTTCTCTCACTCAGTGCACTAAGATTTCTTCCATGACTAGGTCTAGGCGCTAGAAGAATTCTTTGCCTCCAGCGGAGATGCCGTCTGCTGTGTGGTTGATCGGTTTGCTCCGAACCGTCTCTCCATTTCTCTGTCATATAGTATGATACCTAGTTACCACATAAGAGAAAGCTGAACATGCTACGAGACGAATCAAGGGAATCCATGCAGATTCACCAATATTTCGAATTATCTCTGAGCTGTTATCACCTCTCTTACCGCCCAGTTACAGCTCGCTCGCTCGCTTGCTTGCACCCCTCACCGGGGAGGCTGAGCCGGAGCTGTGCAATTCGTTGTTTTACATAGGTATCAGGCTTTCAAGGCAGATAATTGAGGCCGGTCAGAATAAGCAAACAACGGAAAACGCGGATCAAGAAGATTGGGCAGTAGTTATGTCCTCCTTTGCCATTCTCTCCACCATGAATTAAAGATGTATTCGACGGCAGTCCATATATATCTATCACCTCTTGGAGCCAAGGACGGCGAGACTGATATTATAGAAATAACGGGAATATGCATCAATGTAACCAACAGATAGGCTTCATACTTTCAGTCCCATGGCGTCAATATCCATAGCCCTAAATTGGTGAAGCAGATTACTCATCTCAACGGTTCCAAGAAAACACATCCAAAAACCTCGGAATGTCTGTCATTGAAGACATATAATACATTCTAAACATCGTGATGGTCTTGGAAAATATTGTATAAATTGTCGGGCCGTCCTGTGATCGGCAGGCCTTTTTCCAGATCGTCATTGCAAGGGCGGCTATTGACATTGGCGATGGCCTAGCTTAGTAGCGGGCAACCCTCAATGTGTTGGGATGTCAGGATGATGATACCTGGAGCATTATCCGTGGTAGTTACCCGATTGCAACATGATTCAAGAAACAACCGAATCGGGGACCCGAGCCTAATGGAATTATGAGGTACTACCTACATGTAGGTCAGTGCTGAGAGATTTTTAGGTCTGATACTTGGACCACCTCGGCTGGAATATGTTAGCAGTGATGGACGGTAGAAGACGTGTACCGAGGTCATGCAAACAGCAAGAGAGAAGCAAACAGCTTGAATGATTGATTCATCATGAAACACCTGGAGCTGCCTTTGTACATAGTGAGACTTCGATTCATGCACTTCTGAGCCTTGACTCTGCGCCCTGTCTGTAACTCGTCTTATTCCACTGTCTTGGCCTGCCAATTGTTGCCTCATCCCCCACTTTGGGCCGCATTCAGGTCCAGAAGACGACGGGACCTGCCCTTGAACAGTCCTAGACGGTGAAGACTGAATGGGAAGTGAGCTAGGGAGCGGCCCCATCGCATTGGGGAGGGGAGTGCGCTGTGCGCTTGTCCAGTAGACGCCGAGCCCCCTGGAAACGAACCGCTAAGTTGTGGCTGATCCAGTGAGAAGCGCCTAATAAGGCGGTCGAAGGGCGCGTCAGGGCCCATTCATAGGCTCTGGTTCTAGTCCATCCATGCTGGGAGCCTCCAGCTGTGATCACCCGCCACCCGCCCTTCAGACAAATTCCTTTCCCCCTTCCCCAAATGATGGGCTGGGCTGGGCTGCTTTTCACTCACCCTCAGGCCTCGCTCTCCCCATTCTCCACTTTTCTTATTCACTTGCTCTTTCCTACCCGCCCCCTTCCACATTTCATTCCCATTTCTCCTCCTCAGCCTGCCATTTTCTCCCATCCCACGACGCCCTTCCGCCATCTCTTCTCCTAACATCTACCTACACCCACTGTCATCTCGACGACGACCTCGCGACTTTACGTCTGCCATAGCTGCTTAGATTCTCTTGGTCTTTCTTTCAGATTCAACAAGAACCCTCAGGAATTACCGGAGCCACATAGTTCTCGAGAATCTTGACCGAGTTTTTAACTCCTAGCTATCCCCGATTCTCACCTAACCGACGCTGTCACCTCCCAAAGATCAGCCTGCACGCGTTTTGACCGCCTCCAAACGCACACGATTCTCTTGCAGGTATGTTAGCCGATCATATTTCCTAGACCGAAATGTGTTTTTTGTTTGGTTTTGTATCAACCGGCTTGTTCGTATATTCATTCTCTGTCATTTGGATGCACCGACTCATGCCTACGCGGGCTTTTCTTGATACTGCATGAGGCTTGTCGGGCGAGTCGCTCTTACGTCGAGTTGCGTCGGGTTTGCCTTGTGGCGTTGCCCACCGCCCTCAAGCCTGATTCTTCTCCGACCCAGTTTTGCCCCTCTCATTGCATGCATTGCCGCCTTTTCTCATTTGCTTTCATTTATCTACTTTTCAACCGAACCTAGACGTTGCTGACTCCCCCTATAGCCAACGAAGGCTTGCAGATCACACAAACTTGTACATCCGTTTTTATTCCTACGGAACGGAAAACCATCAACTTTCATCATGACGACCATGGTACGTTCGCCATCTCGAAGGTCTCGATTCAGGCTCCGGTGCACAACACCTCTAAAACGACATTAATCATCTTGAGGCACCATAAGCCCTTTTTGATCGCCCGAGTTACTTGTGCCGGAGCTTGAGTAGAGACAAGGAACATTATTGCAGCATTGGCTAACTCAGTCGGGCAGGATCTTCGCGTCGGTAACAAGTACCGTATCGGTCGAAAGATCGGTTCAGGTTCTTTCGGTGATATCTATCTGGGCACCAATATCATCTCCGGTGAGGAGATCGCCATCAAACTTGAGTCCGTCAAGGCCAAGCACCCGCAACTGGAGTATGAGGCTCGTGTGTACAAGTCTCTTGCTGGTGGCGTTGGAATCCCGTTTGTTCGTTGGTTTGGTACCGAGTGCGACTATAATGCCATGGTTCTCGACCTTCTCGGCCCCAGTCTGGAGGATCTCTTCAACTTTTGTAACCGAAAGTTTTCCTTGAAGACGGTTCTTCTCCTGGCCGATCAGCTCATTTCTCGAATCGAATACATTCACGCCAAGTCTTTCATCCACCGAGATATCAAGCCCGACAACTTCCTCATGGGTATCGGCAAACGAGGTAACCAAGTCAACGTTATCGATTTCGGTCTTGCCAAGAAGTATCGCGACCCCAAGACTCACTTCCACATCCCCTACAGAGAGAACAAGAATCTGACAGGTACTGCGCGCTACGCCTCCATCAACACCCACTTGGGTGTCGAGCAATCACGACGCGATGATATGGAGTCCCTTGGTTACGTTATGCTCTATTTCTGCCGCGGCTCTCTCCCTTGGCAGGGTCTGAAGGCCGCCACCAAGAAGCAGAAGTACGACCGCATTATGGAAAAGAAGATGACTACCCCTACTGAGGTTCTCTGCCGTGGATTCCCCAATGAGTTCGCAATCTACCTCAACTACACTCGATCTCTTCGATTCGACGATAAGCCTGATTACAGCTACCTCCGCAAGATCTTCCGCGACCTCTTTGTTCGGGAGGGTTTCCAGTATGATTATGTTTTCGACTGGACAGTCTACAAGTACCAGAAGAACGCGCAGGCTATCGCACAGGCTGCCGGTCAGGCCAACCCTGAAGACGAGGAAAAGGCCCGTGCCAGCCGTACCAACGCCGCTACTGCCGGCCAGTCTGCTGCTAAGCCTAATGCCATTCCCAGCACTCGTCGCAAGATGCTTGAGCGAGGCTCCGGCGCTGGCGTCGATACTCCCGACACCAACCGTGCCATCGGTGGAAGCGACAGGATGTGAGTGATAAGTAACGCCTATTTTTTCTAGTCCCTCGTAAGGAATCTTTTTCCTTCGCGCGTGTAGTGTGTTTTTGTACCGCTGGCCGAAGGGAGATTTGCTGACAACTATGGCTGACTCAGTGGACGATAAACAGGCTTCGCTCAGCTTCAAAGGGAGCGGGATATGCCTCGGGCAGCTATCGGCCGAAATGATTTCTAAACCGATCACTCCTCTCTTTTTGGGATTCTCACTCATGGCTACCGATACTGGCGATTCACACCCAACATCGACACCCGGATGCAAGTCTCTTGAACAGCTGAATGATTCTGCTGGTCATCATTCTGCTTATTGATCGAGGTCGATTGTTGGAGCGCGGATCGGTCACGCCCATTTTCTACGCCTTTGCTCTATCTTGTTCTTCGACGTATCTTTTGGCGAATTCACGACTTTACGCATGGCTCGGGTATCTCTTGATGGTTGGAATGTTGCACAATGGATAAACCTTCGGGTTTCGTCCTTTGAGCGACTACAATGCCTTCAGGAGACTTTCCTGAACGGCATGTCCGGTACTCCTATTTCTGGGTGTACCGAACCTGTGGGGCTATCACTGCTACTCGCAAAGTAGCCTTACCTCGGAATGCCACATACCATGGTGTCGATAATACAAGATTCGCCCCTGGAGCTGAATTCGGGTCCACATCTCGCTATGGCTCACCTTTCCGTCGAAGCGGCTCAGCTCGATCCCCTAGCAGGCATTTCCTTCATCGTATCTTTCTTTGCTTTCATTTAATTTGCATGGACGTTTGCTCTGGTCTTTTTGAGTTTGCTCCTACCTGTCGGAGATAGCTTCTGGGGAGGCAACAGGGGACGCGGTTCAGGAGTTATGCTACTGGTAAAGCTAGTCTCGACACCATGTCGCGAATGGCAAGCCTGTTACGGATAGCAGTCCACGTTGGCAGAGGATCTTGGTACAGTGGCAGATGCAACAGCGGGAGTTACCGGCCTAAGTTAAGGTCAGCTCCGGTATCCTACTGTTCGGCTTGGTGGATGGAATCAGGCACTTCATTGGGCGAACAAGTTGACGCAAGTTGCTGCAGCCTTCAAAAACACCATGGTGACGCGGCAACTGACATGGCACTCCCATCATGAAGTCCAAGGTTGGGAAATCGGGTATTAACGAAACTCCCCAGCAGCCGACAAGGGACATGGTTGATGAGCCTACATTTTCAACCGTCGGGTTGAGCAGCCCTGGATTTCACGTACATCCACCCACCCCTTCATTCATTTCTTGATCACACATTAGGTAGTCTACAAATTCAGTCTGTTTTATTTGGAAATTATCGTTCAACTTCAGAACGATGCGTCATGCCGTTCGTTCTTGGTAATCCGTAGCCTAATTAGGTGAAGTAAGTTTAGCCCTGATATCATGAAGCCTACGCAGTTGTACAGGCTTTCAGTTGAATCATGAAACAAACTGATGCCTGGCTTATACACTAATCAAGTGATGGATCTGACCTAAAAGAGCAGACTGGTTATTTACATGCTGAAGGCACAGACTCGAATGGGTGTCCGAGGAACCGCCATCCAATGACAAGGTCGTTTGGATGGTCACATGTGTGGAATGCGTGCCTCGCAGCCTACAGGTCTCGTTATCTCGAGCGGTAACAGGAGCTGATTAGATAGGAGGCCAATAGACATTTGAAAAACAGATAAGTTGGGATGTACAACGTTTCATGTATTCAGTCATCATCTCAGGAATAGTCTTCAGTTTCTGGTAGTAGATTTGACTGAATACCTCATGTAACGCAACACAGGAATATCTAAGGTAAGTACCATACTGAGCTTTAAGTTGATAGCCGTACCTTGCAGGAGGCGGAAAGTGTGTGTACATCATCACGGGTGTCGAAATCTGTAGTGTTACTCTGAGAGCCCAAGGAGCAGCTTGGGCACGCGATCGAACCCTTCTTTGGCCTATGCTGACGATTGGATCTCAAGTGATCATGCCTGTATGTCGACACCCACAAAACAAAGTCTAAACCGGACCAAAAGTCGATAGTGATCGACGAAACCAAGCATTAACCCCACATTTTCCTTGCTTGCAGCCAGTTCCAGATCCTCAATCTCACCTGCCCACCATCCTCCCTGCATGTCGTGAGCTTCGCGCACACTCGAGGTTTCCCTTTTAGGCTTGCAGCGGGACCCTTGTTCTTGTCTCTCTTTAGTTTCTTAAGTTAGTTGGTTCCTCTCTTACCAATTCTCTTCTTCATCCTTGCAAGACCTTTGACCGTCTCGCGCTTTTTACAACGAGACCTGAATGTCGTGCGTTGCAACGGCGGCATCGACTTCAGTAACCAAATCCACGACTACAACATCAACGTCGACTTCCCAATCCAAGCTGTCGTCTTCCTCCGCTCCATCCACCATGACCCCCCCTTCTATTGACCTCTTATACCTCACGTTCAACTGTGCCAAGAATCTTCTCGATATTCCCGTCTTCGGCAGCCATTTGCAAACCGCCTTTCGTCAAAACGCAACTGGTTTACCAGAGGTTGTTGTTCTGTAAGCCGCAATCCTCTTCGTCTCTTCCGAAGGCGATCAGGTTACCAACGCCCTCGATACGCTGCTAGCTTCGACAGTCATGGGACTCGAGACACGATCAGCACAAGGTCTACATAGAGCACCGGGATATCTTGTACTGATTCATGTTCTGTTCGCAGCTCGCTACAGGAGGTGGCACCCTTGGCGTACTCCTTCATTGGTGGTTACTTCTTGAACCCATACCTCTCACGATACGAACAAGCCATCAATATCGCCGCTCAACATATTATTGATGATATATCGAGTCGAAATAGCGAGACTGTCAACACTACGCCCACCGCCCTCCCCTCGAAGCCATACACACTTGTGCGAGCCAAAAATGTTGGCTACACCGCCATACTGCTCTTCGCTCGCGAGCCTTCGAGGCTAAAGAATATTCAAGAGGCGGAAGTTGGGTTTGGGGCCGCTGAGATAGGGAACAAGGGCGCTGTCGGTCTACGCATGCTTTATGAAGCTGATGGTGGCTCATCTGAGCTGACTTTTGTCGCAACACATCTGGCGGCTATGGAATGGAACTTGCCCCGGCGTAATGCCAACTGGGCCGCTATAATGCGTGGTATGGCTTTTGAAAACCCAGAAGTGGTTGTGAATAGCTACAAGACCTCTGCCACCCCATCTCCAGCCTCAACACCACCTGCCGAAGACGAGCCCGAGCGTGCGCGCCTCCTCGATGATGAACACAACGAGCAACACTCACAACTTCAACAACAGTTGCACAACATCTCCGTTTTCAGGCCCTCATCATTCCTCTTTGTTGCCGGCGATCTAAATTATAGAATATCCACCACGTCCCCGCCCCCTTCCGCTACATTCCCCAGTCTAGATCCGGAGTCGGAGAACTACTATCCAGATTTTTTCCGTCTCGATCAGCTTACCCGTGAGCGTAACGCTGGCCGCACTTTACATGGGTTATCAGAGCACGAGGTGCGCTTCCCACCGACTTACAAGTACGATGTGTTACCACCACGACCTGGCACGCGAGAGCCCGAGCTTGACGTGCCCTGGAAATTTGCAGTTCATCGCTATCCAGGTTGGACAGATCGGATCCTATTTCTCGACGTACCTTCATGGCTCAAAAAAGGGAATAGCCAGGACCCCAAGTTCAACGTTCGTGCTTATGACTGTCTTCCAGTACTGCGTATGAGCGATCATCGTCCAGTGTTCCTACGTATCGACGTGCCCCTCATTTCACCGAGTGATATGGCCCCGCCGTCAGACCTGGACCGTGGTGTAAGCAAGGACCCTCGGGCCCGACTCCCTATGGAAATTGACCCAGAGGCCTGGGAGCGCCGGGCCGCCGCACGCCGTAAGGAGGTCATGGCAGGCTGGAGCATGTACCTCTGGAGTACTAAGCAGGGTGTCTGTATCCTAGCCACAGTACTCGCTTTTGGTGCAGGTGTGTACTGGCTGTACCGGCGGTTCTGAGCCACATTTTTACTGCATTGTTCTCTCTGGTCTCGGGGGATGTGAAAACATAATTGCAAGAAGACCTAGCAACTTCAAACACCCTAAGGCCCGGTGGGGTTGTCTTGTACTATGCTTGTGATGCAAGACTGCGTGTCTGTCGCTATCCCCCGTTGCTCACTTTATTATTTGCTGGTTGATACAACTCATTTAGATAGTATATGGCAGCAGGCAAAGCACTCAAACATCATGTATGCAAAGACGTAGTATTGTATTAGTTTCACTGCTTGCAACCAAAGGCAAACAGCGTTAACAAATAAATTCATTGAACAGGAAATGAGGTATGTGCAAGATTATCCTTCACTGTCTCGCCACACATTTCACGGCCCCGAGAAACGAGTATCAGATGTGCGGGTAATAGAAAGCTTCAGGTGCTATAACTGCCTATACAACTCAGATGCCATGAGCTAAACCATTCGCTTGCACAAGGTAAAAAGACGTAAAAAGCAATGGAGTTAAACGAATATTGGATACCAAGGAGTAGTGTAGTATAGTATCTCCTATCTCCTCATCGAAGTCATTATTCGTAGTCAAACGCTGTTCTCCAGACATTGGTCATAAACGCTTAATAGAAATGCTGATTTAAGAACCGATGTTTCTGGCGTTGAATCGTAATTCGTCATTGTGTGTATGTTCATTCTCAAGGGTCATTTGGGCACCTTGTATGCGTTTTTGCATATTTGGAGTAGAGTCTGACTGCCGAGTAATTCTCATGTATTAAATGGACGTTTGGCATGACGAGATACGTCGGCACCCATCTTCCGATCCAGGTGGGTGGCTGGTTCGGGTGATTAGAAGTCAGCGAAGTATGGGTCATATTTCTCCGCCATCTCGCGGCCATAAGGCTCGCGAGATCCGTCATCCTCGGGGTAGACGTCGAAACATTGTGCATCGCCCGGATATCGTATCGGGGGCTGGATGGGGCCCTTTTGTCGACGGTTGAAAATGTCATCCCAGTTGGTGTCATGGAAGAAAGGGTGGGATTTCACACGTGCTGCACCGCCGCTTATATTACCAAGGCGCCGAGAACGATCGACGGTGCAGAAGGACCGTATTATATCCTTAGCTTCTTCTGATAAGGGGGGGTCTTGGGGAAAGACAACGGGCTTTTCTAGTATCCTGCGGAGAAATAGTCAACGTGCCATTCTTACACATCTGTCGAACAGTTACCCACTGCTTGTAGATCTCGATGGGGTTCTGGTGCCAGAAAGGAGGATACCCCGTCAAGAATTCATATATTAGAATGCCCAGTGCCCACCAGTCAACTGCGCCTGTGTGACCTTTGTTTTGGATGACCTCGGGGGCGAGATACTCAGGTGTCCCGCACAAGGTGTATGTCTCGACAGGGCGGTTATCTTCACGGTAGCCAAGTCGCTTGGCAAAGCCAAAATCAACAAGCTTGATGTGGCCCTCTTGATCCAGAAGCAGGTTTTCAGGTTTAAGGTCTCGATAGGCAATACCTCCTTGCTGCTCATGCAAGTACTCCAGAACAAGAACAATCTCGGCGGCGTAGAAGCGTGCGACAGATTCTTCGAAGCGTCGTAACTTTCTAAGATATGTGAACAACTCTCCCCCAGGAACGTAGTCGAGCAGCATGTAGAGCGAATCTTGGTCGGAAAAGGAGGCGATTAGGTTTGTGATGAAAGGATGACCTGCGACATCAGCGAGAATAGCGCGTTCGTGTCGGACATGGTCGACTTGTTTGAGACGGATGACTTCTGGTTTCCGTAGGATCTTGAGGGCGTAGACTTCGGGGTTGAGTTGATGGTCAAGGGGGATATGCGCAGTTGCGGCGGGACGGACGAGGCAGACCCGAGCAAATGTTCCTTTTTCAGGGGGTCAGAAGCGGAGGGCCATAAGTCTACAAGACATGGACATACCTGTCCCTAGTGTGCGAACTCGTCTGAAGTCGCGAAGATTGAATTTGCGGGTTTGTGGTAATGGACTTGGGGTGGGAGATGTTGGTCCACTCGGAGCATCTTGGGCATGTGAGTGAGAGTTTGCGGAATGCGAGGGCGCAGGGATTCCCGATGACGATGGTAGGCCACCAGCATGTGAGGGCGCAACGGTCGCAGCCATGACTTTATCGTCCTGAAGTCCTGTGATAGAATCGCGGCAACAGAGAGGTGAAGAGATTGGCGAGGGGGCGAAGTCGATGGGAATCGATTATTGACTGGGGTTGAGGCGCGAGCCCATAACAACCCGGGACCAACACTGCCAGAAAACCGGTCGATATGGCCAGTAAATTGGAGACAATTCGAAAAGCGAGGGGGTCTCTAGCATACGCTGAGTTGTTTGCCGTTGTCGCCCGTGGTTGTGCTTTTGTCACGCGGTCAGTTGGGGGGTTCTAGAGCAAGTTTGGCTCGGTTCTCCTGACGATGCGGAGACGATGGATAACGGAAGGATGCGGCGTCCTCAAGTCCAGCCCGTTATTCCAAGTGGCAACCTCAAGAACAGGGATTCAGATTGAGCGCAAAGCTTCGATCAAGAAATGGGTTAAGATTATTGGCAGAAGGTTTAGAACCAAAAGTGAGGCTGAGGAAGAGGTGAGACTCTGAGGCGGATGGAAAGAGAAACGACGAAAAGGCGGCGGAAGGTGGGCGATGCACGAGCGAGATAGTGATGAAGATGGAGGCAGAATGAGAGGCTAAAAAATGAACGACCTTGACGTGATGTTTATGTGCCTTGCCTAGTCTGCGAGCTAGACCACTATAGTAAACAGCCAATGCAGCGTGAGTGCCTATTCAGGATACGACGAGGGCGTCCCCATGAAACGGTGAGGGAACGAGCGCCATCGGATGTCATGGATATTGGTCGGCTGGGGGCCGAAGAAGGACCAACGACATGTCACGAGTATCTGAAAGAAGGCCGCCGCATGTGGTGAATAAAAGAGGCCATACAGACTCCAGAACTCATGACGGACATTCCATTGGTATTTCTTCCTGAATTGGTGATCTTTTGCCTGTTTCCAAGGCGCCATCTCTATGAAGCAAAACTCCAGGTGCACTTGAAAGTACATTGTCATTTGTCTGGGCTTCAGCCTCCTATCAACTGCGATCTATACTGTAGATACAGCGGAGCACTTAAAGTGGACTCGGCAGCGGGGGTCCAGAATCTATCATGACGCAAAATGTGGGTGACGGGGATCTTGAGAGGTCACCCAGAGATACCCCTTTTGGTGATCGACAAGTTGTCAGTGGTGGTGTCGAGCTTATGACCTCTGCTATTTGACGTAAAGGAGGGTTATATTGCATAATCGGAGACGAATACACTCTCACTCGTTCCCCTTATCTCTTCCAGTCACAACCTCACTCTTAAATGCTGGTATGATTCATGATCAAAGCTGGGGAGTGTAACCCAGACACTTCAATTATCTCCAACAACCAACCACCTGTTCCATGTCGGCCGAATACCTACAATTACCACAAATACCTAGATCGAAATCCACTTGCGTCATCTGCCGCCGGCTCTTGCTTCCAATCTGCCGGATCCTAGAATGAGATCCTTGAATTTGGAATGTCACTTCAAGACATGCCATCCCCACGCTTTCAATCCCTCCGTTTCATTCCATGCAGTCCATCCTGTGTCCTGATCAAGCGACCCAACGACTGCTTTCTGCGTTCTTCCAGAGATTACAGACCATCCATGTACGTCAGATCTCAGACCGCGGGAAATAACGGGCTGCTCTGGGTATGTCGGCAGTATCGCCAAGCACTTATCCGTACCGCCATGCAGCACTTGAGTCTTTGAGCAGGAAGTGCAAAGATAGCGCTTAAATTCAACGCTAGCTAGGCTGGCTCCAATGACGGCAGTTGGATGTCTTTGCCTATAACCAGTAGCCCAAGTCGGCAACGACACTACCAAAGCCGGTTGGGAAACCCGTTTTCTGTCAGATGGCAGCAGAACCATGGTATATTTAAGCTTTCGGGCCTGGGGATGGCCTCAATCATACTAGACCTAGCTTCGCACAACTCTCAAGGTTTGTCCTTTGCCTACCTGGTCACTAGTGGCACAGCATGTCTCGACGTTCACATTTGGCAGTTTGCTGCTAGCCGACTAGCGTTGTAAAGAGTAAACTGTCCAAGGCTGAGAGCGACGGTGCGATCTACGTAACTTCCTTTACATTCGCTCTCACTTGTCTGTCAGATTCAGCTGTAGCCAACTAAGTCTGTTGAAGAACCCTGACCAGATTCTATTACAGGGCATATGTTACTTTGACGATCCTAAGACCTAGTGATGAATCTGCACTCGCCAATATATTCTGGCTTTGATTATTACTTTCAAGGCAACCTAAGTCGAGCCAGGCATTATGAATTCTTTCGGGTGTGACTAGATTACCATACTAGGGGAAATAGTTTATCAATAGATGCCAATATACATAGTATTGTACTTGGGTATTATAGTAAATGCGATGCTTCTGCGGCTACGTTGTTTAGTATATCTTTTGTCTGGGAACTGTCTCTACAACTGTTGTTCATTGTTTCCGTGCATAGTGCCTTTGTTATGCTGAAATATCGCTATTCACCGGTTCATCTCAAAGAGAACAATGCAAATAATCCATGCTAAGTCCGTGGTGTTTGTGTTCACGAACACGGTGTAAAAACATTCCGTGATAAGATTACATCCCTTTGTTGTATGTTTTCTGCGTATCTTCTAGAGTCCATGAGTAAATGTCTAAATTAACCAAACTCGCCTTCAGGCTATCTATAGCCATGGAAGATTAGCAGCAAACCTACCGACTGTAACGATAATTCTGTTTGGCAATTTCTTCTGTTCTCGCTATTCTTCATCCCTCCCATGCTGTCATGCATTTCTTTAAGCATCTTTTTTGCTGTCACTTTAGCACAACCAGTGCGAGTAATTCTCTACAGCCTCGTCCAGTAGAACTTCAACAGGATGAGAAGCGGCGTTATTCATCGAGGCACCCTAATCATGCATCCTCGGAGTATGGGAAATCTATCGCCTTCTCAGCAGCCATATCTAGTGACAGTGACAGCTTTCCAGCACAAAGAAGTCTTGGGACACTGGCAGTGCTCGACACCAACCAGTCGAGTCGCTATAATGTTGGGCCTAAATATGGCAGAGCTTCTTAATTCGGTCCACCTTGTGTTTAACTATGTTGAAGGTATCTAGAGTGTAAGATGGTTTGGATAAATATAGAACCTAGAGCTTGCCTTAACATGAATGGATCCGAGAGTAATAATTTACTATATTTAAATATGAAGATATAGGGTAAGTAGGTACCCTTTCCCATTCTGTCGCCTGAGCCACAGCTTAAGCCACGCTATTCTTTAATACCTTAAACTAAGCTCCCATGGGCAACTTAACCCGGGAGCCCTAGGGAGCCCCTAGTAGCGGCTCTTGGGTGAGGAATGCCCTGAGGTTCCCTGGCCAGTAGCTGATGGCCCATCTCCCGTATCTGGAGACTTGACGCAGCTCGACCCCATCCATCTCCACTGACCTCAGGTTTCCTCTCCATAACTTAAGCTGTCTTCATCCTTCGTTCAGCCCCGATACTAAAATCCTACCGTCTATTCTGTACTATCGCATTTCTAGTCTCTTATACTCGGCCAGATAATCACGAACGGCCTCGCTTTCCCACACTCTTCCTGTGTCTCCTACTCCCAGCCTTTATTCTTCCAGCTCAGCCGCATACTCCCTGTGTCCAACCGCATCCCCCTCGTCATGCGCCGCTGACCGAAATCATGTTCTCAAACTTGACCAACATTGTCCAGAAAGCACAGCAGCTTATTGATCCTACCCAGGGACTCAATCTGTCCAGTTCCGACCGCAATCCTTCCAAGTCGTCCCTATTCCAAAGTCAATTCCGCCTCCCTGCCTCCCAGACACCCCTCTACGAGATCAACGCTGAGCTTACGATTCCACCTTCCAACGCGACACACGGCGATAAGGATCAAGATAGAGGATGGCATTATGCTGGAAAACTGCATCTATCAGAACACTTTATGTGCTTCTCAACAACTCCTACTAGCTTTGTCCAATCCGCCAGTACTTCCACGTCAACCGCTTTCACTGGTCAGACACATGGCGGAGGCCCCAGCGGCAACGGCTTCACATTTCCATTGTGTGCTATACGAAGAGTTGAGCGCCTGAATAGCCAGAACTTTCAGGTATGATCCATACTGGTGAGACGCTCATGCGTATTACTTAAACTGACCTCACCATGTTCCAGTTCGCACTAGCTCTGACCACCTGGAATGGTCTTCTCGCCGACACTCCTAAAGACAAGGACTCGAAGGACAAAAAGGACTTAAGAGAGCAACGTATTACAATACATCTTGCCGGGACCAGGCAGTCTTGCGAGCGTTTTTGTGATGGCCTCAAAAAAGGCCTAAGGGCAGGAGTTGGTAATGTAGCCAAGCTGCGACGAGTCGCTGCTGAGTGCTATTCTGAGCATCTCCTCAGAACCGAGGACAGGAAAAATGCCTCCCCACCAGACGCCGGCCTAGGAATGCTCTTCCGATACCCTGGCGACCCAAAGAAGCTACGGGACAGGGCGAAAATGCGCCTCTGGGCTGAGTATCTACGTGACAATGGTCGAAACTTTACCCTGATCCGCCAACCAACTTTCCACAAGCTCATTCGCGTTGGTCTGCCGAACCGGCTCAGAGGCGAGATTTGGGAACTCACATCTGGCTCGATTTATTTACGCCTGGAAAATCCAGCACTCTATACTGATACCCTGGCAAAGTTTGAAGGCCAAGAGTCGCTTGCTATCGACGAGATCGAAAAGGACCTCAACCGAAGTCTTCCAGAGTATCCAGGCTTCCAAAGCGAGGATGGAATCAACCGCCTACGTCGGGTATTAACTGCTTACAGTTGGGTCAATACCGAGGTCGGATATTGCCAAGCCATGAATATTGTCGTGGCCGCATTATTGATTTACATGTCTGAAGCCCAGGCTTTCTTTCTCCTCTCAGCACTTTGCGACAGACTAGTTCCCGGGTATTACTCCACGACTATGTATGGAACCCTTCTTGATCAGAAGGTATTTGAGTCCTTGGTGGAGAGGACAATGCCCATCCTCTGGGATCATCTTGTCAAAAGCGACGTGCAGTTGTCTGTCGTCTCGCTCCCTTGGTTTCTGTCACTTTACATCAACTCGATGCCCCTTGTCTTTGCCTTCCGTGTTCTGGACGTTTTCTTCGTCGAAGGGCCAAAGGTACTGTTTCAGGTAGGGTTGGCAATCTTGCGCATCAATGGCGAGGAGTTGCTTGATGCGGCGGATGACGGGGCCTTCATTTCAGTTCTGAAGGCCTACTTCTCCCGCTTGGATGAGTCGGCTCACCCCAAGTCTGAAAATCCAAAGTTGCGTGCCGTGACCCGATTCCAGGAACTGATGGTCGTGGCCTTCAAGGAGTTCGCAGGAATAACTCACAGCAGTATCACCGAGCTGCGTTTGAAGAATAAGGACGCCGTCCTCAATAATATTGAGAACTTTGCTAAGAGGACCGCTATTCGCAATCTGGGTCCCGAAAGCAAATTGTTAAGTACTGATGAGCTTGGTTCACTATACGATCGGTTCTACAATATCCTATACGAACGTCAGCAGAGGGACCATATGATTCAACAAGAGAAATTGCGGCGAGCGAGGTCAAGTAGGATGCGGGCATCTGAGATTTTCGCAACTCATCACGACGAAGTTGAAAAGGGACGCGTTGGATTAGGCCCAAGTACAAGCCTCATGGACTACGATGCATTCCGCGAATTTCTTGCAAGCATGTCAAAATGGGCTATATCGGATTCACCAGGTGCGACAAAGTATAGCAATTATGACGACCGTCAAAATATGTTTCACAGCGCCAGGCGGCCATCCGAACTAATGTCACCCTGGGGTGGAGGACCGGAGCCTGCTGATCACGAATTTTTGCAACGTTTATTCAAGAGGTGGGATGTGGATGGCAGCTCTGCCTTGACTCTTCAGAACGTTGTTACAGGTCTAGCGCAGATCAAAGGGAAACGTGACATTATGGGCACTATTACATACTTCTTCGAGTTATATGACGACGA